CGGTCAGTAAAAAAGACAAAAAGGAAAAAAAAATCTTGAATCATACTGATAACTAGTTGCAAGTGGTAGCCATTCGTACTAGTTTTTTTTTAAAGTTATTTTACAATCTCAGGCAGTCTTCAGTTGAAATGATCCAGATCCCTGAAGGGTGAGTAGATGAAGCATTTTTTTTGTGTGTGTGTGTGTGTCCGGCAACGGATCGCAACCCTCAGTGTCGCTTCCGTACCAGACCGGGACCGGCAACGGGATCGCAACCCTCGGTGTCACGCCCGCACCTCGCTCAGCCAGTGAGCGGGAACCAGTCTGTATGTAGGATCCGAACCCTCGGCGGGAGCGCCACCGCACTCTCAAGCGGCGGACTGTAGCAGTGCGCCACCGGGCCGGCCCATAGATGAAGCATTTTTTTTTCCCCCCTTTTTTTTGTCTTTTCTCGTGACCGGCAACGGATCGCAACCCTCAGTGTTGCGCCCGTACCGGACCGGGACCGGCAACGGGATCGCAACCCTCGGCGTCGCGCCCGCACCTTGCTCAGCCAGCGAGTGGCCGGTCTGTATGTGGGATCCGAACCCCCGGCGGGAGCGCCGCCGCACTTCCCAAGCGGCGCACTGTAGCAGTGCACCACCGGGCCGGCCCCAGATGAAGCATTTTTGATCCAAGACATTATAGATATTATCTAGCAACTATTGACCTTCTTTCTCATAGGAATAGAGGCAGGGAAGCAGTACCCAGCACTTTGAATAAGCAGTCAAACCATGGACAGCAGTTCTGAAAGCCAGCAGACTCAAACCCCAGTTGGTGGGAAAGCCTAAGCTGATGTGAAGCCATTTCTATTCCTAAAACTCAGTGTGAATGCTGACAACAGTTGCTGCAGAAATATCGCTTTGTTGATCACAGAGCAGTGCGTCAGGCCCCCAGTGACTACATGTCCCTTTAGTATATGTGCTTGGCACTTAGTCACGCTGAATTCGAAGCTCTGAAACGTGCCTCCTCGAGGACTGGAATGAGCTGTTGGGGTGTCCTGGGCTCCATTGGTGTTCTTGTGACAGCCTGCTGTTCCCCAGTTGAGGGAGTGAGTGGCTTGAGAGCGAGCATGGTTTTACTGTGTAATCCCATAACCACAGGTTTCTGGGTAGAGAGTTGCCCTGCACTTCTGGAATGATCCGTCCTCGTCATGGTGGCTCTTGCTACATTGTCCTTCCTTTTTTTCCTTCTTTTTTTGTTGCTGGGGATAACTTTGCCCCTGTTGGCATCGTGTCCATGAAGAACTGAAGGTGGTGTCTTGTGGTTGGCATCCTCCCTGGCTCAGCCAGTGCAGCCCATGGCAGGAGGTTCTGGGAACAAGCAGCACTGCCTCACCGGGAGCTCTCCTTTGGTAGTGACTGTTGAGAAAATATAGGAAAATGGTCAGGGCCCCTCAGATGTTCAGAATCTTGCCAAGCACTTGATGTAAATATGCACTTGTGCCCAGGTGTTCCTTGGTTATTGTCTAATGTAACTGCGCGTGTGCACCCAGGTGTCCTGGGTTATGGACTTAAGTATAAAGGATGAGTGGCTCTCATCCACAGTGCCCCCCACCCCTGGGATGGCCATGGAGGAGGCCTCTACCGCTGCTGGAGGCTGGAGGCCATTGCTGCCAGTGTCCCCAGGAACCTCCATTAGGTGGCCACCACTGCCGGACCTGTAAGCTGCTGCCGAGGACTGAGTTTGTGTGGTCTACCAACAGCTCCCGGGATCTTTCCCAATTACTTAGCATGGACCTCCTACATGTGAGGAGTCTGGGGACCCAGTCTATACAATGGGTTTGAAGGGTCTGAGCCCTAGCTCTGACAATATAAATGGAACCTTAGTATAACTAAAATAATGAAACATTTTGGCTTTAGTTATAATTTGCCTTACTCAACAACTGGCATAGTTGTGGATTTTTACAGTGGCCCACAGGCATTTGTACCTGTGGCGTTTTTGCAACTTCACAAGAGTCAGGAACGTACTGTGGGAGGAGAGCAGGTCTGGGCCTCCACCTGCATCTTCCACCTGCTTGTCCAGGTGCCTGTGTAGCTAACGAGAAATGCTGCTCCTCTGCAAGGCACTGCTTAATTTTTTTCTTCTTGAAGGTAATGGCAAGATGTCCGGGTTGAGATGGACATAGGAGTCAGCATCCTAAAGTAAAACGTGTGACTTTAACTTGTGCCTGAGTTTCTTAATGCTGGTGAACGGCCTCCCGCCTCTGGCAGCCATGTGTTTCTTGTTGAACTGTTGCTTTTGCTCAGAGTGGTTTTCCCCCTACTTTGTAGGTGATTTATCAAAGAAAGGAAAGAAAAGAAAAGGCGGGAGAAGGCCTAGTGACTGGGGTGGTGGGAAGCCGGGCCCACTGCTCCTGTGAAGGTATGGCCTGCAGGTGCTTCTAGGGGGAGTGTCACCACCATCCGTGAGCTCTGGTGCGTTGGGGCACAGAGGGCCAGCCTTCTTTGGTGATGCTGTCAGTCCCAGTTGCTCGCCAGAAGCTTGCAGCACCTAGATTAGTTTTGTGTTGGTGGAAATCTTTAAAATATTGTGTGATCTTATGCTTCTTGAAAATAGGTAAATCCTTCTGGACAGATTGTAATAGTAATGTCTTTACTGTGCTTGAAGATGGGCAGAGCTGGGGCTTCTGGCCCTCCCCGAGTGTGTGGTGTGCTTCTCGGCTTGGTCTGCGTCACAGCTTTGCCCGTCGACCGCCTTGTGACTACTCATGCCATGCCTTCTTGTGGAAGCCATGCTTCTCCTTGCTATCTGAGGGCTGGGAAATTGGACAGTTCAGCTTGATGAAAACAGGAGGTAACCTTTGCTCCTGTGTGTGGGCACTGCCATCACCTGTACTTGAAGGCTGGTCTGAGGCATGGAAGGTACAAAAGTGGGCTGTGTCTTGCAGCTGGCAAGTGGTTGGGCAGTGATCTCAGCCTCTGTGGGCCCCAGCAGCTTGGACACTGAAGCCGGCACATATTGTGCTCTGAGCCTCTCTGGACCAGTGTGCCGTGCCAGCTGTACTTGCCTACTACAGGCTGCGGGCCGAGACAGGCATGTGCCTGCTGGTCCCACAGCAGGACTGGGGATTTCCCACCTTGTTTCCAGCCTAGATTGGTGGCTTCTCCACTGCTTTGATGGGGCAGTAATTGCAGCTGCCATGTCTGTGGTGGGTGTTGCTGTGTGCCAGATATCGTTCTGGGTAGTTGGTGCATATTAACATACACATTTACAAAGGAAGTTCCTGAAGCACAGAGAGGTTAAGTTACTTGGCCAAGATCAAAGCAGTAAGTGGTGGAGTCAGAATTTGAGCTTGGACAGTGTGCTGCAGAGCTCAGGCCCTCACTGCTGGTGCTGAGCCAGGTGCAGAGATGATGGAGGTGAGAAGAAGCTGGGATACATTGGTTACATGGCATGCGGGGCCTCTGGAGTAAGCTGGAGCCTATGGTGCTCAGGGGTGGATTTTTGCATGAGCTGGGGGAGAGGTTTCAAACGTGCCAGGTGAGATGAGTAGGAGATTATGAACCTGAAAGAGCATTGCACGGGTCAACTGTTTCAGTGTTGGACTGTAAATGGCATCATGGCACCATACTGGCATCAGAAAAGGTTCTCTGTGTTGTGTACAAACCCCAGGCTCTGGGCCAGGCACAGGCTGTGCTGAAGAAGCTCAAGCCACAGTGGTGCTCCTCACACAGGCATTTTGTGGGTGGGGACCAAGAAAGCAGCAGCTTGGGGCCCAGAGCAACAGACTGGCCGGCTCTGGCTGCCCAGGGCCCAGGCAGTCCCGTGGGCCTGATGGGGTGTGACAGAGAAGGGTCTGAGGTTTTGAACTAACACCTTCCAGCTGTGGCCTGGGAGGCCTCAGGCCAGGTCTCCAGCCCTCAGGAAGCCCACGTTGCAGTGGAGAGAGAACGGGCATGATGGACACAGTGCACATCTCATCTGTAAGACGGCCAGGTGTCAGCAGAGTGGTGGTGGGCGGCCAGAGAAGCCACAGTGAGGCAAGGTGTGAGCTGGGGGCATCCAGGCAGGGGGCGGCTGCAGAGGCTTGGGGCTTAGGGCCTGCCAGAGCCAGAGTGGAGTGTGCAGTGGGGGGAGACCAGGAGGAGATGGGCCTTGGGCTTCGTTCTCTGAGTTTTGCCATTTTGCTTATATGCCTCCGGTCAACTGGTGCCCAGGTCAGAGTCTGTTGATGTGAGCATCCTCGCTGATTTTTAGGTCTTGGTCAAGAGCCACAGGCCTTTACAGAAAGCCACCTGTTAGGGTAGAGGACCTACAAATTCAACAAACTCCTTACTCCACACCCTGTCTTCCCCTAAATCCCAAAGAAATGCACCCCGCATCCCCAAGTCGTTGGGAGTGGACCTGCACGACCCACCTAGAGGTTGGGTTGTGTCCTAAAGGGTCAAGTGTTTGCCAGTTGAGTTCATGTCCAACCTGCGTCTGTGTGGCACATGGCAACCCTGTGCTGCTGTTGGATGTGGGGAAGGTCCAGCTGGATCACATCATCCTGGTGTCACATACAAGCCCCTTCCGAGGGGCTCCTGGGGGGTGTTTCACGCATCAGGAAGCAGCTGGGCGTGGTGTGTGTAGTTGTGGCATGGGGTTTCTGCTGCTCTTGTCAGTATTTGGTGCTGAGCAGTCAGAGACAAGTGCTGGCTCCTCATTGCTGGTTTCCCTTTTTTGCTTTTTCAAGGAATGTTGTTTTTGGCTGCTGCACTCCGCTCCACCCTGTGTACCTTCCCTTCAGAGGCAGTCCCCGCAGCTGTTGGACTCCAAGGCCCGAACACTCACACACGGTGGCAAGAGTGCCCTGGACCCCTGGCTCGGCGGGTTTGGTTGTAACAGGACCTCAGTACCTTCCTGTGCGTGGCTGGCACTCATCGCCCTCCCTTGGTGAGGACTCTGTAGTGGAAAAGTCCCTCAAGTCCCTGAAAGACAAGAACAAGAAGCTAGAGGAAGGTGGCCCCGTGTATAGCCCCCCTGTGGAGGTGGCGGTAAAGAAGTCCATCGGGCAGAAGGTGCTGGATGAGCTGAAACACTACTACCATGGCTTCCGCCTGCTCTGGATCGACACCAAGATCGCTGCACGCATGCTCTGGCGCATCCTCAACGGCCACACCTTGACCCGCCGGGAGCGCAGGCAGGTAATGGGGATGCGCCCAGGGTTGTCTTTTTTTCACCTTGTAGGTTGCTTAACAAATATTTTTAGGGCTTGCTTTCTGCTTTTTTTGGTAAAGAAAAAAAGCAGTAAAACTTATACAAAAGTGAACTTCCCCTATATTGCCACAACTGAATTGTAATGCCGACTGCTGACTTTCTGATTTCTCTTCTGCCAGTGGTTTTCAGTATACACATCTGTTTTCTCTTGGTGTTTTGATGCTATTCCCCGGCTTTGGTTTCTCTGTCTTCTGTTGAGAGGTCTGCGTCCACACTGTGGGATCCCTGCTGCAGGTGGGCTGCCTTCTCTGTCTCACTGCTCCTAGTTCTGTCTTTAGGGCCCTGTGTGTTCCTCTGGGTGAGTTTGTTTTCATTTATTGCTTCGGGTCCGTGCTCCCGACTCTGAGGTTGCACGTCTGCCATTGGTTCTAGAACCTGCTGGATCACCAGCACTGGGGCTGTCAGAAGCTTCTGGTTCAGCATCTGTGCACCAGCTCCTTTTATCCTTCACTGCTCTTCAGAGATTCTTCCTGTTTTCTTCCTGTGCTCTCTCGGAGCTGCAACTTCCACTTGACTTCTCACATGCTGAGCATGGCTTGTGATACTTATTAGAAGTCACTTTTCCAAAAGGAATATGTGTTCAGAAATAGATGTTTCCCCTGCAGACCTTCAGGTCTCTCAGTTGTCTGTGAAGTAACTGACAGTCACGCTGTAAGCTTTTCTTCCTTTTACTCTCCCTGTTCTTTTCTTTAGTAGTGAGTTCCGAGGAACAAGGGGCGGCTTCTAGCTCTGTGTTCTAACAGTGGCACTAGTGCCCGCAAAGGAAAGGTGCAGAAGTGTCTCTTCCGTCAGACAGTCTGCTGAGAGTTGGCTAAGAAAGATTCCTCAGTGAGGAAAGGAGGACTATTTTAATGCATCTCAGGAATTAGCTGTTACTTAGAGTAACTCCAGCTTCTAATTCTATACTTGTTCTCAAGAACTCCGTTGAGAACAAGTCTGTTTAACTGGCAGATTTAGAAGGGAGAGAGTGATTGATGAGGAAGGGGTCATATTGGAATTTCAGAGCTGTCCTATCAGTGTGATGCCCACTGTGGCTTCATTACGAGGTCATACTTTACGCCTGGGATCTCCTTCTGCCCCTCTCCCTTCCCGTTGCTGTGAGAGTTCCGTTTTTTTTTTTTTTTTTTTTTCTGCTTCATTGAAGAAGATGAGACATTAAGAAAGAAAAAGAAAAAAAAGTTGGAGCAGATGAGTAAGTACAGGTGAGGTCCCAGCAGAGATGCACTGTTTGCCGTGGCAGCAGGTCCCCTGTTGTCAGCATTAAGAAGAGGGTTTGTGGAGTGTGCTATTTTTTCTTGGTTTTGGGTCTCTTAGGTGATTTGAATTTGAACAAAATATCAGTTCTAATTTTGTGCGAATAGTGTTTAGGTGGAAGACAGACTCGAAGTGCTGCGATTTAAGTTTTTGTGCTATTGAATGCTTGCTAATTATGTTAAATAGAGAATGACAGACACGTCTGAGTGTGGAATAGAGGCATTGGGGAAGTTGTTTTGTGTGTAGTTCTGGGCCCTGTGGTGCTGCATTAGTCAGTGGGAGGAGGTGTGTTTCTGGTCCCTCCAGGATATCTGCTGAAGCAGGAAATGCTTTAAAGTGACAGTGTCTGGGGCTGGCCCGGTGGTGCACTGCTACAGTGCGCTGCTTGGGAGTGTGGCGGTGCTCCCGCCGAGGGTTTGGATCCCACATACAGACCGGTTCCGGCTCACTGGCTGAGCGAGGTGCGGGTGCAGCACTGAGGGTTGCGATCCCGTTGCTGGTCCCGGTCCGGTACGGGCGCGACACTGAGGGTTGTGATCCGTTGCCGGACATGACAAAAGACAAAAAGGAAAAATAAATAAATAAATAAATAAAATAAATAAAGTGACAGTGTCAAGGCCACAGCAATAGGGTCAACACTAACTCCCCAGCGCTTAAAACAGTGTCCTCAAGGTTTGTCCATGTCGCAGCATGTGTCAGAACTTCCTGCCTTTTTAAGGCTGAACGTTATTCCATTGTATGGCTAGACCATGTTTAATCTTTCATCTGCTAATAGTCACTTGGGTTACTTCTCCCTTTTGGCTATCGTGAGTAAATGGAATTTTTAAATTTCAATTTCAAATTGTCGATTGCTAGTATATGGAAATATAATTGATCTTTATGTATTCATCTTGTATCTTGCAGACTTACCAAATCCGTTATTAGTTTTAGTTCTTTGTAAATTCCATCAGAGTGTATTGGTAGCAGATTTTGGATTTTTTTTTTTTCCCCAAATGTTTTTTCTGCATCTACTTAGATAATCAAATGGGTTTTCTTTTTTAGTTTTTTTTGGGTTTGTTTTTTTTGGCATCTGGCTGGTGTGAGGATCCAAGCCCTTTGACCTTGGTGTTACAACACCGTGGTTACAACTGAGCAACCCCCTAGCTGCCTTTTTTAATTTTATTAATTAAATGATTGAGATTGTCAGATTGGATTTAAAGCAAGACCCAACTATATGCATTCTATAAGAAACACACCTTAAATGTAAAGACACAAATAGATTAAAAGTAAAGGATGAAAAAAGGTGTAAATTGTGCTACGCTAGTCAAAATAAAGCTGATATGGCCACGTAAATTTTAGACAAAGATTTCAGAACAAAGAGTATTACTGGGATAAAGAGGATCATGTCACGATGTTAAAGAGATCAGTTTATGAAGGAGGATACAACATTCCTAAATGTTATGTACCTGGTTACAGAAGCTAGACACGAAAGAGCATATTGCACTTCCCTGTGTATGGAATGTCGAGGGAAGGCAAATTTATAGAAACAGAAATCAAATCATGCTTGCCTAGGGCTGGGAGTGGGAATGGAGATTAACTGCAGGTGGACACAGCGGAACCTTTTGGTGTGACAAAAATGTTGTAAATCTGGATTTTGGTGATGGTTTCACATTCTATAAATTTACCAGAAATCATTGACTTGTACATTGACTATAGTGAATGTTATGGTACATTTAAAAAAAACTGATGGAGGATATAAACAAATACAGGTGCCAGCCTGAAGTACTATTTGGTACTTCAGTACAATAGTACTGTTGTACTGTTTAGTACTACAGTACAAGTACAGACAGTACTATTTGGTAAACAAGTGAAAAAGTAGAGGAACACATGAGTTTGTTTTGATAATACATAGAAAAATGAGTGTGCAGGAAAGCAGGTTCTTCCTTTACTTCAGATGGTAGGCACAGAGAGTTAGGAAGTCTGTTCTGTGACCGTCAGAGGCTGGGGAGAAAGGCTGAGGAGAGGGACATTTGCATGGTCTTGGGATGTCTGCCATAGATTGCCCGCTTTTGCAAGGGGAGATAGAAACTGTACAGAACACACCTGGACCAAGTGAACACCACCCAGGGAGGGTGGTTGTTGTGCCACCCAAGATGGGACAGCATCACTTGTCATTCTCCACCACACGTGGGTCACCTGCACATGAGAGACAACAGACAAGCCTAAAATTAAGACCTTTCTAGAAATGATGTCACTCTTCCAGAGAGCATCAAATTAATAATCGTAGTAGAAATACAGATGAAAATTTGAATAAGAGAATTTTTTTGGTTGAAGACAGTCTAGAAAGTTTTATGTGTGATTAGTAGTCCTATCGGGAGCAGCACTGTGAGGAGCGGTGCGGTAAGCGGCGTTCCTAGGAAGAGCAGTACTGTAAAGAGTGCTATAAGGATTGAAGAGAAGGGAGTTTCTCGAGAACCCAGCAGCGATGTTCACTATTGGTAGGGATTTGATTATTTCAAATTGTGTGTTTCTTTAATGGCATCAAACACTACTTTATTTATATTGATAAAACACTTGTGTTCGTTTCAAATTATTGCTTTGTGGTGTAGCCTTAGATCTCAGTGTCTGTGGAGGCGCAGGAGGAGCGCACAGCCAACTCTCCTTTCTACAGAGCCTTTAGGGTGGACCGTGTAGCTCAGCCTCCCCTGCAGTTACCATCCTCAGTGGACTGGCCTCTGAGCCTAGGGCCATCGCAGATGCCCTTGCGGAATGGCTCACTGAAAGCACCAGTGTCCTCCGTGTTAGCATCCCACCCCACTTTTCTGAAGGCCATTAGTGCATGGTTTGGACACTCCAGATAACTGGGTTTCGGGAGTTGTCTAACTGGTTTTGGAACCCAGAGCTCATAGAGATTCCTGGGAGTGGTTGCCCATGGTTGTGCCTGTAAACAGTTTTAGGCGAGATGCTCAAAGCCCCCACCCCGTGCCTGCTTTGTCCCTCTGATGGAGCCGCTCTCTCCAGTTTCTCAGGATCTGCGCTGACCTTTTCCGCCTGGTCCCATTCCTCGTCTTCGTGGTGGTGCCATTCATGGAGTTCCTGCTGCCTGTGGCTGTGAAGCTCTTCCCCAACATGTTGCCGTCCACGTTTGAGACCCAGTCCATCAAGGTGAGGGGCAAGGTGGCAGCGAGCTCATTTCACAGTGAGGCCAAGAGTCTGTGACTGATGTTCCAGCTGTCAGATGTTTTTGAAGTTTTATGTTTTCATAATTCAGTCCTTCTGCTGTGCTGTGGCTATTTAATGGATACTGTTTAATGGATTTGTTTCTGCTTGTGTTTTTTTGTTTTTAAAGATGACCGGTAAGGGGATCTTAACCCTTGACTTGGTGTTGTCAGCACCACGCTCAGCCAGTGAGCGAACCAGCCATCCCTATATAGGGATCTGAACCCGTGGCGTTGGTGTTATCAGCACCGCACTCTCCCAAGTGATCATGGGCTGGCCCTCTTTGTGTTTTAAAATATGATTTTTCAGGGCCGGCCCGTGGCTTGCTTGGGAGAGTATGGTGCTGACAACACCAAGTCAAGGGTTAAAATCCCCTTACCGGTCATCTTTAAAAAATAAATAAATAAATAAAATATGGTTTTTCTAGACCAGTGTCCATGCCACAGGGGAGATCCATTTGTGGGTCGTGAGATCTGTCTAGCACAGGGTTGGCCAACTACAGCCCACAGGCCAGATCTGGCCCCCGTCCATTGTCAGTAAGGTCCTACAGGCATCTGCCACAGTCACTTGTGTGTGTATTGTCTGGGGGCACTTTTGAGAGGCACCAGCAGAGTTTAGTTGTTTTAGACCACACACTCAGGATGTCCAAAAGCTTTACCTTCTGGAAAAAACTTTCTGACCCTTGCTGTAATTTTTTTAAATTATGAAGTAGAAGAGAAAGTTTCAGAATGTATGTCACTTGGATGAGGGCAGGTGTTTTTCTGTGAAATTGTTTATCTCAGTGTGCGAGAGGTAGGGGAAAGTGGTGGGTACCCGGGGGAGGTGTGAGGTGCTCTCTTGCTGTGGTCACCAGCAGAGGAGCTAGAGCATGTGACTCTGGGCTGTGCTCCCCAGGGAAGCAGTGGTGGCTGGGGCGGGGTCCAGGCAGTGCAGCGCACTCTCTCTGCCCTGCAGGAGGAGAGGCTGAAGAAGGAGCTGCGGGTCAAGCTGGAGCTGGCCAAGTTCCTCCAGGACACCATTGAGGAGATGGCCTTGAAGAACAAGGCAGCCAAGGGCAATGCCACCAAAGACTTCTCTGCGTTTTTCCAGAAGGTGCTGTGATGCTGCTGAGGTCCTGTGGCCTCCACTGGTTAGAGCCACAGAGTGCCACTGCGCCTTGTCTGAGGAGCGTGCCTCAATTTTCTCTTTCCTCTTTTGTGGCACTCAGCAGAGAGGGGGCTCCCAGGCAGGCACTGGCTGTTCCTTTAGGGAGTTTGACCAGCAGGCTTGGCCAGGCGACAGGTGGACTTTGTTAGGAGCTTGGCCTGCACGTGCTTTCAGTGAGGCGAAGCCTGCTGCTGCTGAGCCTCAAGCCCAGCTGACATTCAGAGTCACTGGGCATCGTGTCTTGTGACTGTGCAGCAGTCCAGGGGAGGAAGAACTTGACAGATGAGGAACCTGAGACCTTGAAGGGGCAATGTGCTAGGTGGTCAGGCTGAGCTCCTCTTCCAGGATCCGCCATCTGGCTGGAGCCAGTCAGGAAGGTCCTGAGAGGGCTCATCAGAGGCCTGGGCTGTGGCAGCAGCAGGGGCTGGAGAGGGGATGGGCCACGAGGAATTCCTGTGGCACTGAGTTGGGGGAGCAGGGAGAGTGTGGAGATGACAGAGTCCCTGAGGATGAGAGGAGAGGGATGGGCCCAGGGTCATTGAGCTTGAGGGGCTTGTGCTACTTTCTGGAGTCAGAAGAATGTGTCTGAAGCACAGAAAAGCTTAAACCAGGTGTCAACAAATTCTAGCCCACTTGTGTGTGTTTTCTGGTGCTTTCACGCTGCAGTGCAGAAGTGAGTGTTTTCCATGGCCCCAAAGCCAAAAGCACTTGCTACCTGGACCTTTATGGGAAAGATTTCCAAGCTCCACTCTAGGGATGGAGAAATGTTATCTGTGAGGAGGAGGTGAGCACAGCATGGGGACTGCTGAGTCCACCAGGGAGTGGACAGTGACTCCTGCAAGGGAGCCTGGGGCAGCAACATTTCAGGACCCCTGGGGTTCTGGCAAGATGGAAACTGGGAAGGGAGGCAGGAAGCTTGGATGGGACATTTTGCCACGAAGCAGCTGGAGGAGGGCCTGGACTCAGCCTTTTCCAGGCCACTGTGTGTCCACTGGCTGCAGAGAAGGAGGTGTTCACAGCCAGCTGAGTTGGGGTGTGCCATGCACAGTGTTCTTCAGGAGCACACCTGTCCTCTGTGCTGGGACTGTCCCCGTCTGGCTCTTGGCAGAGACTGAGCTGGTGGCTTGCCTATTGGGCAGGAGGAAATGTGGGCAGCCACCCAAAGAACCCTAAGTGGTCTGAGCTGAGGGGCTCTACCCACTTCCTAGAGGGCAAGAGAGTAGACGCCAGCAGGCCAGGGCCTTGAGATGGCTGCCCACTCCCCTGGCGCTCAGACCCTCCAGGTAGGGGACAGAGGTGCACACAGAAGTGCCCTATTCCCACCACCAAGCAGCTGGGGCACAGGCACAAGGGCCCCAGAATACTGCTCTATGGCCACTGTCATGGTGGGAAGAGGGTTCACAGGGCCTGCACCTGGTAGCTCGTGGGCGCCTGCCCCAGAGACAGCAGCCTTGGCTCTGCTGGCCCAGGCAGGGACAGCCCAGGAGCCAAACGATGCCCCTGCACCAAAGCCCACCTAGCACTCTAGGCGAGCCCAGACTGCCCCCGCCCACTGCAGTCTCAGCCCAGCTCCGGCTGAAGTCAGCACTTTGAGTCTTGAGGTGTGAGGGGCAGCTCCTCGGGGGAGCGTAGGTTGGAGGTGGGTGGTGCCGTGTCTCTGAACCCACTTTAGGCATGAGTCCTGAGCCTGTGGGAGGCTGCTGGGAGAGCACCTCTGACCCAGTGGAGAATACTCACTATTGCCTCTGCAGATCCGGGAGACCGGGGAAAGACCCAGCAACGAGGAAATCATGCGCTTCTCCAAGTTATTTGAAGATGAGTTGACTCTGGATAACCTCACTCGGCCGCAGCTGGTGGCGCTCTGTAAGCTGCTGGAGCTCCAGTCCATCGGCACCAACAACTTCCTGCGCTTCCAGCTCACCATGAAGCTGAGGTCCATAAAGGCTGACGACAAGGTGAGGCGCAGACATGCAGGGACATGCGACCACACAGGCTTGGCGCTGCTTCTCGGGTGTTGTACCTTTGTTTTTTGATGGCAAGTGCAGTGCGTCCTTATTGTAGAAACTGGAAGATGCTGAATGATAGAAGAAGACAATAGCACGGTTATCTTGTGGTTCCCAGATCATGACTATTGACAGAAGTTTACACGTTTCTGCCCGCCACACCCTGCACATGCACTCACAGAACGTGTGTCTGTATGTACTGGAGTGAACGTTGCGGTCACACAGCCTGTGCAACTTTTCACTCAGTCTGACACTGAGCCTCCCGTGTCACTAGGTACTCACTGGAGAGATGAATTTTAGTGACTGTCTTAACATTTCATTAGATGAATGCATCATAATTTATTGAATCAGTGCTTTATTTAGCTAATCTCGTGCTACTCTAAACAACACTGCAATAAATATCTTTTAATTTTGCCCTAGATTGTTGATAATTTCTTTAAAAATAGTGACCCAGAACTGGGCTTCCTGAATAAAATAGTAGGAGGTCAGATACAAGTCCTGACCCCACAGCCAGATTGCCCCCAGGTCGCAGGTGCTGCGGTGTCCTCACCACCTGGCCTGCCCACTCCTGGCCCTGCTCTGGGTGTGCCCCAGAGTGTGCCGGTCTCCAGGAGAATTAATGAAATGTCCCTCTTCTTCTCTAGTAATGCTTTTGCCTTAAAATCTGCATCGTCTGTTATTCCGATAGCTACATCAGCTTCCTTTGGGTGGGTCTTCTTCCATCCTTCCACCAGCAAGCTTCCTGTGTCCTCTTATTTGTAATGTGTTTGTTACTGTTTTAATCTGGTTTGACAATGTCTGTCTTTCTTTTTTTTTTTTTTTTTTTTTTTTTTTTTTTTTTTTTTTGTCTTTTTTGTCTTTTTCTGTGTCTGGCCACAGATCGCAACCCTCAGTGTTGCCCCCGTACCGGACCGGGGACCGGCAACGGGATCGCAACCCTCGGTGTTGCTCCCGCGCCTCGCTCAGACAGTGAGTGGGAACCGGTCTGTATGTGGGATCCGAACCCTCGGGCGGGAGCGCCGCCACGCTTCCCAAGCGGCGCACTATCCAGTGTGCCACCGGGCCGGCCCAACAATGTCTGTCTTTCAACTGGGGTATTTAGTCTGACTTTTTTCTAGTTGTCCTACCTGTTCTAGGTTCTACTTAATCTCCTTTCTTACTTTTTTTCTGGATTAATCTAGTATCTTTAGTTATCCCACCCCGTTTTATAAGCTTGTTACTTGAGCAGCTTTCCTTGCGTTTACGAACGGCAAGCTTCCGTGACTCGTCCTTTTACTCCCTCCCGGCCACTGCGAGCACCTCAGTGTTCTGCCTGCCCGTCCCTGCTCCCGCCCCTGTGCTGCTCTGCCTCTGCAGCCTGTGCTCATCTACCTCTGCGCACTCACCCTTGGCTGAAGTCGCTCCTTCCTCCCTGCACTTACGTGTTCCCATCCAGGTTCTTTTCCTTAACTTGGGGCTGGCCAGTTATAGCTCGGTGGATTAGAGTGTGGTGTTGATAACACCAAGGTCCAGGGTTCAGATCCCCACACCAGCTAGCCACAAAAAGCAAAAAACCTCTTTATTTTCCTCAACTTAAGGATTTCTCTTTAATATTTATATGGCCTGGGTCTGCCATGAGGAATTTTCTTAGTTTTTGTGTGTTTTGAGTGTGTCTTGATTTCTCTTCCTTTTTTTTTTTTTTTTTTTGTCCTTTTTTGAGACCGGCCACACCGCGCTCAGCCAGTGAGCGCTGTGAGCGCACTGGTCATCCCTATATAGGATCCGAACCCGCGGCGGGAGCGCTGCTGTGCTCCCAGCGCCGCACTCTCCCGAGTGCACCACGGGCTCGGCCCTCTCTTCCATTTTTGTGGGGCATTTTCTGTGGTGTGGGATTCCAGGCTGGCGGTCTGTCCTTTCTGCACTCTCAAGAACGCCACTCTTGGCTCCCGGCTCCATCATCTCTCATGGGAGGTCAGTAGTTGGGCCTGTCATTGTCCCTTGAGGACATGTCTCCTTTCTCTGGCAACTTCCAAGAATTCCTCTCTGTTTTCAGTTTCTGGCGGTTTCATGACACTGCGCCTGGGTGTGTCGTCTTTGTGCTGACCCTGCTGACCAGTCACCTGGCTTCTTCTGCCTTGTGAGCTCTGCCCTTCCCATGCTCTGTCCCATGTCCACACACATCCCATGTGCACTTTCCTGTGTCTTACATCCTTTTCTTCTTTCAGGTTACTGATCCTCTCTTCTTCTGGGTCTAATCTACTCCTATACCCATCTTATGAGTTCTTAATTTCAATCCAGGAAATTTTTTTTTTTTTTTTTTATTCCAGTTCTCAGGTAAAATTGTCCATCCCATCATCTATTTTCTGGAGCACACTAATCATACTTCATGTTTGATTACTCTCATAACTAGGTGATCTGTCAGTGTTTTGTTTTCTCTCTTGGTTTTGTTTGTTCGTAGTAAGTTTTTCTCGAATGCAGGCACTGCCTGTGGAAAATTAGAGTTCCGGATGGTGTTGTCCTCTTCCAGGAAGGGCCTACCTACGTCTCTGATGTGCAAGTTGAGGGGCTGGTCACCTCCACTAATCAGGGCAAAGGCTGAGTGGAGGTCTGTACCTCCACCTTTGCCGGAATATATCGGGGCACCCCAGCCCCCGACCGCCATGGCGTCAGCAGAGGCTAGGTGGAGAGCCAGGACTTCCATTGCTGCCCAGCAGTAACAGGACCACCTCTACCTGTGCTGCCAGCAGAAGCCTCGTGGGAGAGAAGGCACACCTGCCCCACCCAGGAGTGACCCAGACTTCCACCCTAGCCTGGCAGTGACGGGGCAGCACCCTTGCCTGTTCTAAAAGGTGCCCAGGATTTAATGTGTGGATGCCACCAAGCAACAGCATGGAGAGGTTGAGAGAAGTTTGTTACTCATAGCTTTTCTGGAAACACAGCACAGCGTGTCACTTGGGGCTTTGTGAAACCTTGATGTCCACAGAGAGCAGGAAGTGAGGATGGGGGAGAGAGAGGGAAAGCGAGTGCCCACGTAGAGCTGGGGCTGTGCCTTCACTGCTAGTGTTCCAGGAGGTGGCCAGATGGAGACGTGTTTAGGCAGGAGGGTTTGTGGCTCGCCTGTGAGAGCTGGACCACATAGAGATGTCAACAGTCTTGGCCCTTAGTTTGGCCCTGTGATTAACAAATGCCAAATCATCAATTGCAAATCTTTTAAAGTTAGAACACACCCCTTGCCTCATCCAGAGGGGCATCTGAGGAGACCAGCTAAGACAGAAGATTGAAATAAGATCCAGATTCCCATAATGTAGTACCCAAAATCTTCAGGTTTCAACTGAAGACATTTGTCCAAGTGAGTAGAGACGGCAACCAGCAGACGTCAGTACAGGGATGACAGATGTTAGAGACACCAGACACATTTCAAAGCAGCTGTCATAAAAATGCTTCAGCAAGCTATTACAGACTGAAATGTGTGAAGAATAGTCTCAGCAAAGAAATACAAAGTCTTGGGGAAAAGAATATAGAAAGAAGAACCACATGAAAACTCAGAACTGGAAGACACAACAACTGGCATGAAAGCTCGGTGGTGGGCTCTGCAGCAGAACGGAGAGGAGGACAGAATCGGTGCGCTCAAGATGAAACGACAGGAGTCACCCGTCTAAACAGCAGAAGTAGTGAGCAGAAACGGCCGGAGCCTCGGCGTGCTTCTCCAGCTCGACATCTGACAACCGTGTCGTCACAGTCTCAGGAGGACAGGAGGAGACGACGAGAGGAGGAGAGGGCAGGGCTGGAAAAGGGCTTGAAGAACCAATGGTTGAAAACTTCCAGATTCAGTAAAAGACAGGTCTACAAATTTAAGAAGCTAAGTGAACCCAAATGTTTTTCTTTTCGTTTTGTTTGGGTAAACGCAAAGAAATGCACACCAAGACACATCAGAGTCAAACTAATGAACACCGAAGACACTTTTGGAAGCAGAGAGAGCGTGGTATCTTGACCACAGGGCCAGTGCTCTGAATGGCAGCTGGTGTCTCCTCAGAAACTGCAGGGGCCGAGGAGGTGGGGGCGGTATTTTTCAAGTGCTAAAAGAAACGAACTGTCAACTGAATCCCGTATCCAGCAAAACCCATAGGAACAAAGGGGCAGTCAAGTCATTCTCAGATGAAGGTGATTCACAGCCTGTCACCAGGACCTGCCCTGACAGAACAGCTACAGGAGATTCTCTGACCAGAAGGGAAACGGTAGGGGAAGGCACCTTGGAGGGTCAGGGAGAGCGTGGGGAGCACGTAGGCTTTCCCGTCCTGTGTCTGCTGGAGTGGGCTCGCCAGCCGCGGCAGCAGTAAGCGCCGGGTGGCACAGTTCCCGGTTCCCACGTAGGCAGAGGAGACCCACCAGGCTGTCCCGCTGCAGCTGCAGCCGGGCAGAGCAAGGTCCTCCGCTTCGCCCCAACGGGTTGTGATGAAGTGATGTGTGTAGCGTGAACCCCAGAGGAGCCGCAGACATGCTGCTCGGAGAGACACAGACGACCACTGTAGAGAAGTCCAAATAGAATTCAGGTAACCCCCAGGAAGGCAGAGAAGAGGACACACAAAAAGCAGCTTTATTTCTAACAAACCGGAAAGCACGCAGATGTCTGTCCGTGCGTGCTGCTGCGTTCACATGTGGGGCGCTGCCTCGCGATGGCCAGGAGCCTCAGGGGACTCTCAGGGAGCCCCAAGGGTGGCGGTGGTTTCTGTCCTGCCTGGATCATGTCAGTGTCCTAGTTATTACATTGTGCAGTTCTGTAAGATGCTGCCGGTGAGGACCCGTAAAGGGCCTGTGGGATCTCTGTGTTATTTGTTTCGGCCGCATGTCTATCCGTGATGATGTCAAAGTGTTTAATTTTAAAAGTGGGGATCGTGGTTCTACCTGCCTCATAGGGTGGTTATGAGGTTAAGTGGGTTGCCTGTGGCGACAGGTATAGGAAGGCCCTGGGAGGCGCCCACACAGACGAGCAGCTGCTGTTACGTGTTTCTTCTGTCCTTGCCTGTTGCTCCCCATGTGGTCTCTGTGACTCCTCAGGCTGAGGGGTGCGAGGTCAGGATGTGTCTTCACAGTGTTTGGTTCCCCCTCCCCTCCTCTCCGTCCGTCCTTTTTCCGTCCTGTGAACACTGAGAATGCTTTGGCAGGTGGAGGGCCGTGGGGATCAGAGGAAATGGCGGGAAGCGGGAGGGGCTGGGGCAGGGCTGCTTCTGCTGTCCGTTTAGACACAGACGGGCCCTTCTCTGGGCCACAGCGTGGGAGGAGGTTTGTGTGCGAGCACCTCCTCCCTGAGCGGGGCTGGGGTTGGGGGGCCTCTGCGTCTTGCGGTTGCTCATAGCCGGTCTGTGCTGCCCAAGATCCCAGCCCTCTGGCAGGCAGTTCCTATCACTTCAAGCGCACAACTGGGCTTTGGAGGTGGTGGTTTGTCTTTGGCTTGGCAAAGCCTATTAGAGGTTTATTCCCAGTTGTGTTAACCTGTTATGTGAATCACCGTAATCCTGGTGACCTTTCAAAATGATAATTCTTTGACTTTCTTTTCCAGCTGATCGCTGAGGAAGGGGTGGACAGCCTGAACGTCAAGGAGTTGCAGGCAGCATGTCGGGCACGAGGCATGCGGGCCCTGGGTGTCACGGAAGACCGTCTGAGGGGCCAGCTGAGGCAGGTATGCAGCCAGAGGGGCCGGCCAGGGCGGGGGCTAGTGGCGGTGGCCTGCTGGGCAGTCCTGGCGCTCAGTGTTGTCAGCTTCCTTCCTGTCTCAACTCTGCTCAGCACGTTCCCCTGTTCTTAGGTTTATTCTCATATTTTGCCATGTTCAGTCTGTGTTGAAATACTGTCATGGTTTTTTGTCTGTGTGAGGATTGTCTTGGTGTCACCATTGTAGCCTGGCACAGCACCTGGCCCATCATAGACCTGCAGACACTTGAGTGTGGAATGAACCGAGTGAGGCTGCCTTATCGGTCCCCTGCAGGGAGTTTGCCTGGGCCAGTTTTAAGTAAAGAACCTTGCTTACAGTTCTTAGAGCCCTGGGGGCTGAGCCAAGGGACACCCATGATTCTCTGGCATCTCAAGTGTCTAGTTTATGGCTGGCCGGTTAGCTCAGTCAGTCGGTTGGAGTGTGGTGCTGATAACACCAAGGTCTGGGGTTTGATTCCTGTACGGGCCAGTGCCAAGAAACAACAACGAAAAGAAACCAAGTGCCTAGATAACTAAGGTGGACACTAAGTCATATAATATAGCAACAAGTAGACCTTTTAGGCCTTGAAACATCATTGTTGGAGAGCTCATTCCAGTGACTTCATGACTCTATCTACTCAAGTTCTCTTTTGGTTGTTGCTACCAGCTCCTCTTCCCCCAACCAAACCAGACAGCAAGAGAAAGTTTCAGGGCCACCTGGCAGGACACGTGGGTGGGCCAGGGCCTGTGGGGCTGGGGCGGAAGCCACACATCCAGTGAGTTTGGGTCTTGGGTTGCAGTGGCTGGACCTGCATCTGCACCAGGAGATCCCCACGTCGCTGCTTATACTGTCCCGAGCCATGTACCTCCCAGACACCCTCTCACCTGCTGACCAGCTCAAGTCTACACTGCAGACCCTCCCAGATATCGTGGTATGTGTTGTTGGGAGACCCCTTGTGCCCATCACTTTGGAAGTGGCCCCTCTTTTCTGGGGTGAGGGAGAGATGTGGGAACATTCACCTCTTCAGCCCTGGGAGCCTGTCTTGGAGCCCCCACCCACTCTCCCTTCACCTGTCCCTGCCCCCCCCGTCTGGTCCCCCCCAACGTGGCACAGTCACTTGGAACACACAGCAATTGTGACCCTGCCACATGTTGGCCACACGTGGCTGATCTGAAACGCAGCATTTAACGTTTTTGCCACTAGTGTCTATGTATGTCCTTCTCTGAATATCAAGGTATCATTTCTATAGATGTGGAAGATTCCCCCCCAGTATCTTTCACCACTTCCCAGTAGTTTGGGGGGGGCGGGGGAAGCACACCAGCAGTATGTTCTGTCTCCCTTGTGTGAAGTCCAGAAGGTGACAGTACTCAGACGTGGGGCAGAGGTCAGGGGCAGCCCCAGGGCCCACTCACCCATGCCCCCTTCTCTCTGAAGGCAAAGGAGGCCCAGGTGAAAGCAGCTGCGGTGGAGGGGGAGCAGGTGGACAACAAGGCGAAGCTGGAGGCCACGCTGCAGGAGGAGGCGGCCATCCAGCAGGAGCACCGCGAGAAAGAGCTGCAGATGCAGTCAGGGGCCGTGGTAGGTGGCAGCCAGCCCTGCCCCGAGGGACCCAAGGCCATCTCAGGCTAGCTTTGCTGGGAACTCGCTTGTGTCCACATACTTGGGCCCCTGCAGTTCCGGCCTCACACGTTTTCTCCTAGAACAGTCAGCACAGTGGCGGCAGGGCTGCCTAGCTCTAGGGGCTCCCCTGATGGGACATGGCTCAGCCATCTCACCCTTGGCAGGCACTAGTCAGCACAGAGGGGCCAGTTCAGTGCCTGACGGGTGCCCACCTTCTGCTCGGGCCTTGCCGTGATGGGCATTGGTGCAGGAGCCTTGGGCTCCCCCAGTCCTGGGCTACACTCGGCTCCCTGGGCACAGAAGCAGTGGGAAGCTGTGCTGTGACACAGGCACTGGGTTTCTCCTGGGTCCTTCACACTCACCCACCCATGACTCGGCCTCCTGCTCTGCAAGTGACAAGCAGCTTGGAGTCTTAAGGAGACCAGAGACAAGACAGGATCCTCTGACCTGCTCTGTGGAGGGGCCTCAGACAGCTCAGTTCCATGGCAGCTTCATGGAGGGTCCCGCAAGGAGAGCTCACAGCAGGCACACCACCTGCTGCTGCACTAGCAGGCCAGTTCAGAGTGTGGCCTCTGTTAGTAGCATGTCCATGCTGTGTGAGGAGCCCCAGGAAGCCGCAGTGACTCCATGGCCTTGCATTTCAGAAGGACATTGAGCTGGAAAGAACAGAAGTTGCCCCTGGGAGGCCAGTGGCTGAGCTGCAGCCAGAAGTGCCTGATGTAATTCTGCCCTCAGAGGCCCTGAAGGACACTGCCCCCGTGCTGGAGGGCTTGAAGGTAATGCATCGCCACGCATGGCGGCCACCCAGCTCCTGAGGAACCGGGGCAGGGATGTGGACAGGCCACGGGACCCCTGCAGTCCCTGGGGAGAAGAGGTGCAAATGAGGCCAGGGGTCGCTGGGAGGCTTGGTGGGTGTGAGAGGAGTGAGTTCATTATGGCTCTGGCTTGGGGCCTGGAGGGTGTGGCTGCTGTGGACTTCCACTGTGCCCCGTGTGGCAGGTGCCGCCACCTACTGGGGAGTTTCTAGGCCCTTGTTAGCCTTCCCGGGCAATGAGGGGGTTGCGGGGGTAGATGCTGGTGTGATCCCTCAAGGCAGAGCTTCCTCCACAGAGGCCCACTGTAGTGTCACCTTCTGCTGGGGACCTGGGCTTAGGTGCCTTCAGAACTCTTGCCAGCCCGTGACACTCCGCTCGTCCTAGGATCGCTCATCTCTGGGCAGCCTCACTGTCCTCAGCTGCTTCTGGGCCCCATGCTGCCCACATGGGATGCCCTCTGGTGCCTTCTTTCTGGAACCCCTGGGAGGACCCTGAACATAGGAGCAGGTTTCAGGGGTGTGATGGGCAGAGGAAGTATCTACCAGACAGATGGAAGCGATTTGGCAGCTGGAGGAGAGTGAGGCCTGTGTGGGAGATTTGCCTGTGGGGGCGTCTCAGCCTGGGGATTCCTAAGGTCACAAAGCAGTGAGTGTCCAGAGCAGGACAGACTGGCCTGGCTTCCGCATTCAGAGGTCAGAGAGGGGAGACCACCCAGGAAGTGGCACATGGCATCCCCTAGACACAGGTGAACGAGGGTGGGCATTTTCGGGCTGAAGGGTGAGGCCTGAGTGTCAGGCTCTGGTGAGCAGTATGGGTGGGCAGTGACAGAGACAAGCCTGACCACAGGGGCTTGCGGAGCTGGGAAGAGCACCAGCCCCCTCCAGGCCTGTGGGGAAGTGGCGGCCCCCTGGGGAGGGTATAGAGAGAAGAGATCTCGGGAAGGTCCAGGCTGGGGTCTCTGTGAGAAGAGGAGGGTATAGAGCATGGGACTAGCTGTGACACCCAACGTGCTGCACTGGGAAGGGTGTCAGGGAGTGAGGGGGCAGGGCTGACCAAAGCCTTGTGGGGGCTTCTCTTGGAGACTGGCCTGGGATGAGCCTGCTAGGAGATGGAATTCAGGGTCTTTGCTTCCTTACATGGAGGGCAGAGGCTGGTGGAAAGCAGGTCTTTATCTGCTGGTGGCCCTGAGGCCCAGGAGACACTGAGACAGGCAGGCTGGGGGAAGGAGGTCACGGGTGGGGGGTGGATCGTGGGGAACCTGGCTGAGCTGGGATCAAAGGTACTCCTGCCAAAGCTGGGAGCTGGGCTGTCAGGTGTCAGGGACTGGGATACATCCATCAAAGGGGTACAGGTCCCAGCAAAGCAGAGGGTGGGCAGTTGGCTGACTTCACAGCAACCTGATTCCCATTTCCTCCAGATTAAAGACTTAGATGTAGAAGGGAACTTAGAACTCCCAGGAGAGCCTATGAACTAAGGGTTGCCAAGGATTTCTTAGAAGCACAAACCTTTAAAAAGCTATAGTGGAGAACTTTGGTTCATTGAAAAAATACATGTAGAGTAGAAGGCATGCACGCTTGTCCCCACTGGCCATGCAGACTGGTCTTCCCAGTGAGCTCCACCGCCAGTGAGGACGTTGAGTTTGTGGCTGGAAACCTTCCTACAAAGAAAACCCTGGCCTAAGGTGCTTCACAGGTGAAGCCATTGGTGAACCCAGACATTGAGGAGCAAAGAGTTCCAGAGCTGCATCAGCTCTTGGCAGAAGGAGGAAGAGAAGGGAGCCTTCCCAAGCTCGTCCTGTGAGGCAGCGTTGCCTGACGCCAAAAGCAGATGTAAGAAACGACAGATGCTCTTTCATGAGCGCCGCTGTAAAAACGTTAACAAGCTTTTTAGTAAATCAAGTGCAACTGTTCTGTGAAAAGGATCGTGACCACATGGGATTTGTCCAGGGAATACAAATTGGCTTAAAATTTTAAAAATCAGTGTGGTTACCATACTGGCCGACTGAAGAAGAGCGCGTGGGTCAGCTCGACAGCTGCAAAAAGAACACGTGATGACCAGAGGTTCAGCCCACAAGTAGAAGGGCACTTTCTCAGTCTCATCAACAGGACCGGCAGCAACTCCAGCAGCTGGCATCCTCCTTCATGGTGAGGCCTTGACGGGGGTCCATCCTCAGCCCTTGTGCTCAGCATTGCTCCAGCCAGGGCAGTTAGCAACACAGAGCAGATTACAACCATGCAGATCAGAAAGGAAGAGAGAGGAAAAACTGTCTTCACAAATGTTGGAATCATGTAGAGATCGATTGTGCTTCTCTGTACTGATGAATGATCAGAAACTGGAAGTTTTAACGTATGTCATTTACAGTGGCATACCCTCAGAGTAAAATTGAAAACAAGATATGCAAGAGCTGTACTTGAATTTTAAGTGTAAAATGTTGCTGAGGTAAATTAAAGGAGAGGTAAATAAGTGGGGAGAATGTTTAATGTACTCAAGGTAGGAAGACTCAGTGTTGCTAAAATGTTAATTCTTAAACTGATGTATGGGTTCAAGACTATTGAAATCCTAGCAGGTTTTTTTGTTGAAATTGACAAACTAATTCTAAAATTTACATGGAAATTCATAGGGTCTAGAATAGCCTACACCATTCTTATAAAATAATAATAAAAGTTGGAGGATTTACACTGCCTGATATCAAGACTTATATCGCTATAGTAATCAAGACTGTGATATTGGTATAAAGACAGGTAAGTAGATGAACCAAATGGAAACAAATGGTTTAGAAATAAACCCATATACAGATTGGGTTGATTGATTTTCTACAAAGGTGCCAAGACAGTTTATCAGGGAAAGGACAGTCTTTTCATTGAATTATGCTGGAACAATTTTATAGCCATATACAGAGAGAAAAAAAAAAAAAAAAAAAACTTGATCCTACATAACTCGTACAATATAAAAAATAACTCAAAGGATTATAGGCTTAAATGTAGAATCTTAAAACTACAAAAAAAGTCCTAGGAGAGAATTTCAGTAACCTTAGGTTTGTTGTAGATTTCTTAAATAACAACACACAAACATGATCCATCAAAGAAAAGGATCAATACATTAGTCTTAATCAAAGTTTAAAGCTTTTTCTTCAAAAAACACTTATGAAAATGAAAAGACAAGTTGTGGACAGGGAGAAAATATTTGCAAAATGCAACCTGACAAAGGACTTGTTTCTAGAGTACATAAAGAACACTCTGACAGCTTCATAAGTAGGAAGACAATAGCTCGGTTGTAAACATGGGCAAGACATTTGAGCAGGTACTGAACAGGAGAGGCACACAGATAGGGAGCAGCTGGAAAGGAGCGCCATGCCACTAGTCACCGGGGAAATGGAAACAGCAAGCACCCGGGGGAGCACTGCACGCTATAGCGAGACTAAAACCACAGACTCGGAGCGCTCGACCGAGCATTTGTGAGACTCGCGCCTGCTGGGGGGGCCGCCTGACAGTTTCTGAAGCAGTCAGAGTTGTGCCCCTGCCCTGTGAATCAGCCATCCCTCTCCTGGCACTTCTCCACAAAGACTGGTACACCTGTGTTCAAAGCAGCCGTGTTTATAGTGGCTGAGAACAGGAAACAAGGTACATATCTGTCGACAGGAAAATGAATGAATAAGGTTTGGTGTGGCCCCTCAGAGATTTAAAGGAACATACCGCCACATGGGCAGGCCTCAAAATGAGTGAATGACAGAAGTCAGACAAAAAGTATATGCTGGATGATCCTGTGTATGTGAAATTCTAGAAAATGCAAACTAGTCCATAGTGGTAGAAGGCAGATCAGCAGTTGCCTGGGAGTCGGGGGGTGGGACCCTGAAGGGTCTTGAGGACGTTTGGGGGTGACTGGCGTGTTCACTATTGGCTGTGGCAAGGATGTTACAAGTATTCGCATATGTTGGGCTCAGCCAGTCACACACTTTAAGAAACTGTGGGTCAGCATCCTAGGGCACTGGGAGCAGAGTGCAGACAGGCACTTCATGCATGTGACTGGCTTAGCCGTGGCCTTGAGCTCTACTTCCCAGTGGACGTTACCAGTGAGCACCTGTTTTAGTGGAGACTCTGTTACCAGGTGCTCACCCTGTCATAAGAACAAACAGAAAAGCCATAAACTCTTTTAGGGGAAAAGAGTCAATTATTTCCTCTCCCTTAGGCTTTTGTTTTCTTCCCAGGAAGAGGAAATAACTAAGGAGGAAATTGACATCCTCAGCGATGCCTGTTCTAAGCTGAAGGAGCAGAAGAAATCCCTCACCAAGGAGAAGGAGGAGCTCGAGCTGCTGAAGGAGGATGTCCAGGACTACAGCCAGGTGGGCAGGGCTGCGGGAGGGGGCCCGCTGTCCTGGCACCTCCCTCCTGAGCAGGGCCAGTGTGGACACGGGCGGGCCCTTCTCTCAGCTGCTCCCCGGGGCGGGTGTTCTCAGCCTGGTCACCTGGGCGGGTGGGATTTGCTCCTAAGACAGAGACTGCAAAAAGAGTAAAAGAAGAGCTTCGTCAGCCCCTGGAGTCAGTCCATGGAGTGTTTAATAATCTGACCAAAGGGTATGTGGGGAGAAAACCAACCCAGTGACATTTCAACAGCAGTTCTGACCGGGCCACTCCCATAGAATGTACCAGGTGCCCTTGCAGATGATAGGCATGCAGCTGGTAGATTCTGATCACAGGAATAATTTGGGCGCTGGGTAAATGAAGTCTCGTTTTCATTCGTGATTCCCCAAAAGAGACTCTTCCTCTTCTTACATGGTAGTTCTTCCTGCGATGTTTGCTCATGGGTGAAAGCTGACTTGGAATTTAAGATGACACTTAGGATTTCTTGGTTCATTCATTCATTTATTTATTCTTTAACAAATATGAAGAAAGTTGAGATTCAGAATAGATTCCATTTCCTTTGTTACAAAAGTTTGCAATTTTTTTTTTCCTTTTTGTCTTTTTTACTGACCGGTAACGGGATCGCAACCCTCGGTGTCACACCCGTACCGGGGACCGGCAACGGGATCGCAACCCTCGGTGTTGCGCCCACACCGCGCTCAGCCAGTGAGCGGGAACCGGTCTCCACATGGGATCCGAACCCTCGGCGGGAGCGCCGCCACACTCCCAATGGCGCACTCTCCAGTGCACCACCGGGCCGGCCCAAGTTTGCAATTTTTTAAGACAAACATTTTATAACTAAAAATTTAATTAGGACTTGCAAGAGATCAAGAAGGAACTGTCAAAGACTGGTGAAGAAAAGTACGTGGAAGAATCTAAAGCCAGCAAGAGACTGACGAAGAGAGTGCAGCAGATGATTGGGCAGATCGACGGCTTGATCGCACAGCTGGAGACGGGTCAGCAGGCTGGCAGGCTGGGCCCAGCTCAGGGCTCGCCCGCGGGGTGAGTGGGGCAGGGGTACGGGAGGCCGACTGGGAGGGCTACTCGGTTGACAGGTGCTCTGCTGGGACCTGAGCTTGGGCCTTTCCTACTCCACAGTGCATGTCTTAGCCTCGGTGCCTAATTGCTCCTCCTCTGACCCTGTGGTTCTAGCGAGAGATCCCGGGGGAGTCTGTGCTCAGTCTCCACACCTCTGTGATTCTTTACACAGGTAGCCTTCAGGTTCATTTCTCCCTCACGACCCAGACCCTGCCCTTTCCTGTTTCCACAAACCATCAAGCACTCTGCGGCCTGCTGCTCCTCCTGGCTCCCCTGACACACACTGGATTATGCCCCCACACAGGCAGTGTGCCTTCTCTGTACACCAGTGTGTCCCAGATTCCTGCATGGTGGCTACAGTGACACCCTGCGCTCCCACGGGCCAGCGCTGTACTGGTGCTTCCCGCACGTGCAGGGCCCCACACCCCACGACGTGGGAAGGCAGACTGACCACAAAGTGCCTGCCTGGGCTCCAGTTTTCTTCCCTGGGGGGCCTTTGTCCACCCCAAGATGAGGGTGGTGTCCCCTCTTGAACTGATCTGTTGGCCTGTCTCCTCTCACTGGTCAGATAGCAGGAAGGCCACCATGGCCACAGCAAGAGCATGTTTCCGGGTGGTGCCATGGTGGTCCCATCTGCAGGGCTCTCCCCCTGCTGCAGCCTCAAGGAGGGGCCCCCTGGGGGATGGGCATGCACATAGGAAATACTGGGCCCTGCACCCAGGGGTGGTGCTTGGTGTCTGAGCTGGAGCATCCCAATAGAAAGGACGTGGGAGCTTTTGGCAGTGTTCCCTGGGGGTCCGCATTGAAGGTCACCCGGTTCATGTGGGGCCGCCTGGGTCAGGGCTGACCAGTTGGGGTCACGGGTGTGGCAGTGAGGGCCCGTGTGGTGGGGCAGCTGGCCACAGCTAATGCAGGCTTTGCCCCCAGGGAGAATGTCATCAGCGTCACCGAGCTCATTAACGCCATGAAGCAAATCAAGCACATTCCAGAAAGCAAGCTGGTGAGCTTGGCCTCCGCGCTGGATGAGAACAAGGACGGCAAGGTCGACCTCGACGACCTTGTCAAGGTGGGTCTCGGTGGGGACACTGCCACCTGCATGGGGTTGGCTCTCCCTGTGAGTGGCCGCCCCTCAGTGCCTCAGGTCCAGCAGTCAGGAGGTTGGTCAGTAGCTGTGACTATTCTGTTAGGCCTTTGCTCTCTTTTGAAGTCACACTAGAAAGTTACAAATTCATGAAGTGGGGAGAGGACAGAACAAGGGCCACACGTGGGCCATGGCGCTGAGCTCCTGCCGGGCCCCTAGCACCCAGCTGGAGGCAGGATGAACCTGGGTGCTGAGCACACCTGTCAGGGCCCCCGAGGCCTGAGCTCCCAAGTGCAGCACTTCAGGAGATCTCAGAGCAGGACCTGGCCTGCATGTGGAGGTCTGGTTTCTGACCTGGAGGTTGCTGGCCAGCCTGTCAGAATCACGTACGTCTCAAAAAAAACTGCCTCATGGCCCCTTGTGCATCCAGCACGTTCACCAAAAATGTTGGCTAATTTCTTGTAGTTCCATTTAAAAGCAAGGCACTGTCACACATGCCTGCTCCTTAGTCTGGATGGCAGTGGGGACATGGGCCCCCACTCACCGCCCTCTGCCCTGGGAAGCCGTGGTCTAAGGCATGCCTGGCCCCAAGCACAGCCTGGTTGCCGTGTCCAGCGGCCGCAGTGCCCTCCTCCCTGCAGCCCCAGGCACATAGGAAGCTTGTCTGGCTGGCTTGCTTCCCACTCAATGAGCCCCTCCCCTGCTGCTTGTGACCAGGCCTGGGGCTGTGGAGCCCTTTGGCCCCTGGGGAAATCTGGTACCCTGAGGACCAGGCAGCCAGAGGACCCTGGCAGGCAGTGCAGCGCTTAAGTGCCCATGGCCACCCCAGCCAGGGCGGCCAGGGGACAGCTCTCAGAAGGGGTTGTGCCCACCTCCTCTGTGCTTGCGGGGTCAGCAGGCAAGTATTGTGGCCACAGCCCTGTGTCACACCCTCCTTTTCTGTGCGCACAGGTGATTGAGCTGGTGGACAAAGAAGACATTCACATCTCCACCAGCCAGGTGGCCGAGATCGTGGCGATGCTGGAGAAGGAGGAGAAGGTGGAGGAGAAGGAGAAGGCCAAGGAAAAGGCCGAGAAGGAGGCTGTGGAAGTGAAGAGCTAGGCTGCCAGCTCTCGGGGACGCCGCAGCCTGTGTGTCTGCCTCCCTCCTGCTGCTCGGCCACCTGGGAATGACCGTGGCAGTGAACCTGTTGAGGTGATTCTTAGTGGCAAATCAAATATTTTGTCTGGAGTAAATCAGAAATTACCATAACCAAGTAGATTTAAATTTTCATCATTCCATGGAGATTTAATCAGTCTGGAAACCCTGAACCTCTCCAGGGTGTCATGTCTGGACTCATACCTTGGGTGGCGCTGCAGCGGCCACAGAGGCACACACCGGCCCTCATAATTCAGCATGTGACTGCAGCTCTGCCCCGGACGAGAGTGAGCACTGCGTGACTCCCGACGCCTTGCGGAGCTGGCAGTTTGCCTGCACGTCCCCGGAGCACTGGGACGGGAACTAGATAAGCACAGATGTAGCCCTCCCTGGTTCTGAGAAGATGCTTCAGTCTGTCCCTCTGACTCCTAAATATTGGCATAACAGATCTGTTCACACACATTTTCAAAGTCCCGTCTGTGCAATTATTAGGACAAAAGTGCCTGTCATCTTACTGGCCTCTGGAAGTAATGTTTCTCCCTGACAGGACCACAGGTGTCTCATGTGGACCCGCATGGTGTGTCTGTGGGGCTTGCTCTTGATTTACCTTTGATTTGCGCCTAATTCCGTAATCAACTGACTAGAACAGAGTTTTCACACACGCTTGTCTGTCTAACTCGTGAGTTATATCTAATGTGAATTATGCTGAGATAATGCCGAGGCCTCGACGGCAAAGTGTTCCCTGCTGGGGTGGCTGATTGTGCTGCTGTGGTTTAGGTCGCTGGCTCTTTGCTGTAGGCCGGGCAGGGGCCCACAGCCTCGGGACCCCAGGTGTCCTCCTCCAGCATAGCAGGGCCCAGCCTGCTGTAAAGCATAGGGTTCTTTTGGCTTCTCATGTAAAATTGACATTGAGCACACATGGGGGTGACGGGGGGACAGGACAGGCCACACCCATGGCAGCGCTCACCTCTCAGCCCTTAGCATGGCGTAGGATCGGGTCCCTCAACACCTTTAGAACAAGCAGACGGTGCCGTGCTCCTGGTCACCAAACAGTGAGGGGGTGGTCATGTGGTCAACAGTGGAGCGGCATCCCGAGGGGCTTTCCAAGTGGGGCTTGCCCCGTGCCCCTCGAGGCGGAGCCGGGTGGCCTCCATGGGCTTGGCGTCCAGAGCTCTTCACTGAGCAGCCCCTTGGGTGGGCTGCGCTCGTCCTGCAGTTGGGTCGGTTACCTGCAGAAGGTCTTTTCAGGGAGGCTCCAGACAGGATATGGAAGACACAGGAACAGAGCACACAAGTGGCCGAGGTAGCCGGACAGAAGCAGCAGCGCTTGGAGAGAGCTGCTCAGTTCCTCGAAACTTGGTTTTTTGCTTGACCATTGAAGAAACCTGACAAAGTAAGAGTAAGATATTCTCACATGTAAACCTTTGTAAAATAACAGTCGGGTTCTAAAGGCTTTTTATTTGAATTATTTGAGAAAGAAGCATGTTTTAGATGCTTTACTGGTATTTATGAGTTGTCTTACCCTGAGTTCGTAGCCTGGTGTTTAGTTGTCACAGTACTTGCTTTTGAGAACAAGCTTTGTGGTTGCCAAATGTGTCCCCATAGATGACAACTGTTTGGGGCCCAGTCAGCTGTGCCCCTACTCTTGTCCTCATGCTGGCTGCCTGTGCTGGGCATTGTCAATGTCCCCACCCTACCGCTGGCTGTCACTGCAGAACAGCTGGCTGCCATGGGCAGACGCTCCTGCCGTCCCTCACTCTGGATCCTGCGCTCATAGTTGACGGCATCGCCTCGAGAGCCGGTGCACCCCGGGAGCTGCGGGGGCCCTAGCGGGTGCCTGTCACAGCTTTGGTTCCATCTGCTGTGGTCTGGTGGCAGGCTCTCTCCCCTCATCGTGTGTTCCTTTCTACTGTACTGAACTTTATGGCAGCTGAAATTAGTGTCCGGGGGCAGTGTAGGAAGTGGTGGATCCAGAAACAGTTTTGTGTGATAAGGTTTTAAAAGGTGATGGGTTCCAGCTGTCCACGTTTTATAACTGCCCAGCACCTCAGCTCGACCTTCGTGGCTGTTCAGGAGCTGGGACATCTACGCCTGTGGAAAATGAAACTTGAATTCCCAGCGGGAATTCAGCATTTCTTCTTGCACTCCCCCAAATGCCCACTTCTTACATAGGGATTTGGGAAATTGGCAGGTGGCTTCGAGTCATTTTGGAATATCAGAGTCTACACATTTTAGAAATGAAGGGCACCATGTAATTCTTGAAAACAGCCTCCAGGCAGTGGTTCTCACAGTGGGTTCCGGGGCCAGCTCCACCTGAGAGCCCTTGCCCTGGTTCGTATACAAACACCTTTTGTAGAAATAGTATTTTTAGGAGACCATCAAATCCTTGTTTCTGTAACAGCTCAGTAATATTTCTGGACCTTTTGGCACATAAGTCAAGATGGAAATGGTCTTAGTGTCTGCTTTTGTGAGGGCAGCATGGACTGCGGGCAGGTGTTGGGTGAGCTCTTCCCGTCGGGCATGCAGTTGTGGGTCTGGATTCTGGGAGCCTTGCCTTCCCTGAGGGTTCTCCGAGGGCCCAAGCCCTGGTCCCACCTCCTGTCTCATGGGACCTGTCTGCGGGGTCAGGAGACCTGCATCCCCTTGTCCTGTGACTGTGCACCCTGCTCAGGGGGCCTGCGCCATGTCCGATATTATGCCGTGTGCCAGGCTGCCCTGGGGCCCTGTGGCATTGGCGTGCCGTGTGGTGGTGTGCTAGACACTGTGTTTGATGTAGGAGGTGACTAATAAAGCGCCTTCTCAATGACTTGTCTACCTCGCAGTGGTCTGTGCGTCCAGGCTGGTTGCTCCTGCTGCCTAGTCAGGCTCTCCCCACCCTGAGGACCCTCGGGACACTGGAGGCCCAGACACCTGACACCCAGATTGTCTGCCTCAGTGACCCTGGCTTGAAGGCAGCGAGGGGCCAAGCTGGGCCACGGCGGGCGCCTGGGCTAGAGCCTGTCTCCCTCATGAGCGTCCAGAGTTCGGAAGGCCACTTAAAGGTAGGGCTGGGGCAGGAGGTGCCTGCTGCTGGGGACGGCCTCCGAGAGAGAGAGAGCAGAAAGCATAGGGCACCCACTGGCCAGAGAACAGTGAGCATCAGAGCAGGACAAGAGCTGCCTGTGAGTAGGGACTGAAGGCTGCCTGCCTGCTGGCGCTGCTGACGACACCAGTTTCTGATTGTGAAACAGGTCATTCACAGGAGAGGATCTGGTGGTTTCCTGCCTTCTGAGGAAGCTCTTTAAGGGAGAATTCTAGCTGATGGTCTCAGGGAGAGGCTGGGATCCACCTCCAGACCCTGGGAGGTGGCCGGCCCTGGGGCTGTCAGGGCAGGGAGTTGGGGCACCCCACAGGAGCCACCTGCTTGTCCAGAAGTCAGGGCCTTCCACCAGACTCATCCCCTCACCAGTCTCTGGCAGGGGCCCAGGGTACAGACTGTTCTGGACTGGAGGAGAGCCAGAGGGGGTCCTGATTTAAACAGCTGAGCGCCATGGTGGGGCAACGGGAAGTTTAACTGTGGCCTGGGTATTTTGGTGACAGTAGGAATTGCTCATCAGTTCACAGGTTCTTACCGAGCAGGGGGTTGCAGCCCCAAAGCCCCTGGTGGGGCAGCTACAAGGATTGAGCTCCCAGTGCCCACCTGTCCTGGTTGCCCAGACCTGGGCCTCTCTTCCCAGCCAGTGCCCCACCTGGAGGGTCTTTCTCTGGTGAGGAGGGGCTGACCTGCCCTTGGCTAACCCCAACCCCACCCCCACCCCTTGCTCAAGTTGCCCTTCCCCATGGGGCCAGGCCCCTTGGTGGTCCCAAGCACCCACCCAGCACCTACCAAGGGTTCTCCAGCACCCACCCTGCGTCCAACAGGGCCCAGGGTAGAGAGCGGTCTCAGGTTTCAGCAGGGATACAGCCCATCCCGTCACTAGGGGGCGCCCCTGGCCCTCACACCAAGCCCAGCAATCTGCCAGCCCAGGCAAGAACTCTGTCTCCTGTCCCTTCCCCCAGCAGTCACCTCTCCACTGTCCAACCCTGCCAGAATCTCCACCTCACTCTCCGCCTTGCCCCCCTCCCTTCCAGTCTAGGCCACCATCACCAGGTGTCCCCGGGGCCAAGCCAGCCACTGGGTCTCGACCATGGGGTCTTGGGGCAGACTAGAGGGGGTGGGGCAAGGGTCTGGGCAAGGCTAGGGGACCTGGGGGCAAGGTGCCCCTTGGGAGATCACCATAGCTGCCCCTGCCGCCAGGCCTGGGGCTGCCCCCAGACCACAAGTGCTTCCCTGAATGGGCCTAGGCATTAGGCGGTATCTGTTAACCAGAACTGAGACCCTAGTCTCACCTATCCAGAAACCCCCTCACTTGGAGGGTGTCTTCCAACCCAGCGAAAGGCAGGCAGAGTCAAAGCTCACACACGCAGCCCAGCCCAGCCCGGGAGCGCACTGGCTGCGAGGGCAGGACAGGAGGAGGACCTGAGCGGGGCAGGTCAATCGGGGACGGATAGCCAATCCTGGGCCGCCTGTCCCCAATTCCTCCTCTGGGAAGCCTCAGAGATACTCCCCACCATTCATCCTCCCACACTGCTGGGGTTGTGAACTTGGGAAGGAGGGGCTTGTTCCTATCTCTGGGACCTCAGTGCCCCAACTAGCCGAGAGCCAGTACCACATCACTTGCCTAAAGATACAGGAGCCACCAGGGTGCAGATGGCACCCAGTGGAGCCTAAAGTGGGTGCCAAGCCTGGGACAGGGAGGGAAGCTGGCCAGAAGTAGGAGCGTGGCCACCAGTAGACAGCACTCTCCCAAGGTCTGGAATGAGCCAGGGGGCCATGTTAGACAAGCATATCCAGGGGGTGGGGAGGCCTCAGAAACAGCCACAGGTTCCTGGACATGATCCCCAACCCTGCAGGGCCCCGCGAGCTGCAGGCAGCCAAGATGCTCGGGTGCCTAGAGCACATCTTCCTCTCACCCACTGTGCCCCTTGCCCCCAGACACAGGCTCTTTGCATCCCCTGCCTGTGGGGCCAAGCCACTGGCAACCCTGAGGTCCTGTCCACCAGCACCAGGGTCCCAGGCGGGTGGATACACTGGAGCACCCTCACCTTCAGCCTGGCTCCCCCCAGGACCACCTTCTACAGGTGTCCAGACCTGGGTTAGAAACCCTGGGATGGTGTGTGACCCGGGAAGCCTGTTCCCTTCGAGCCTGAGGAAACCACCCTGTGTTTGGGGACCCCCAATGGCTGCTGTTCCCTCAGCTGCTAGTGACCCTCCCTCCCCACGGGGAAAACGAAAACACTGTCCCTGAAGACAGTGAGGACACGGAGCTGCCCAGGACCCACAGCAAAAGGCACGAAAGCACAAAGCAGATGGGAACCAGGCATTTCTCTTTATTTTTTGGACAGTATGTCTGCTGGCTTCATAAAATTCGTGTCTGCCGGTTTGGGCCAGCACTTTTGGCCATCATGTGGCTAGGCCCCGAGAAGAGACTGCCCTGAGCCACCGCCTTGCCTGCTGGCCAGCACGGGACAGCCACCCAAATTCGGGGCCCATTAACAGTACAAAAAGTAACGAGACTGAGTTCACGGCTTTCTCTCCCAAGCTTTGAAAGGTAGCAGTCCAGGCTATAAAAGTCTAGAAGCATTGAGTAAGCTGTGTTAAGTCTACAGCAAATACACCTTGTAAAAACTTAATAAATTATATATATATAGGTATATATAAACTTGTAACATCTAACAACCTCTGAACCTGTGTGCAGGGTTGGCCTCTCCCTGGAAACCACCTCCCTGCCTGGAACACACAGCAATTAGAACTTGTATGAAAATACCAGCTTGCTTTGAAGTCCAAAAAAAATAAACCTAAAGAGAAGTCCTATAGAAATCTAATTCCCTGCAAAAGAAGGCCAAAGGAAACAGAATATCCTCCCTAGAATCACCTCCAACTAAACAACCTCCTAGGCTTCCAGGGGCCAGCTCCGGCCTTGGGGTGCGGGCTGGACGTACATTCTGGGCAATCCCTTGAAACGTGGCATAAACCTTCTCAGCTGTTAATAAATTAAAACGTAAAATTCTCTGCTGTGCAGCTGGATAAACACTACAAGCATGGGGGCGGGGACACGGGTGCTGGCAGTCGATAAATAGCTTTACAAATACACAAGTCCAGGTACAATTTTTAAAACAAAACTGTGGTGCCAGAAGAGCCCCTTGCTCCTCTGCTGGTCTCTGCATTGTCTCGTCTGTCTCGACAGCGAGTCCCCATGACCCTCCCCCCTCACGGGAAGGGAGAGCAGGCCCTGCCTCCTGCACCCCACGCTCCTGGCCTCCGCCACACCAGCCTTTTCCTTTTCCATATAGATATTTTTTATATATGTATATATATCATATACACAGCATCTACCTATATAAACATACACTTGTTTCTGGAATAACCTTTCGGATAGAAGTTAAAGGCTTCCCGCCTTCAGGTACCCGTAATTTCAGTCTCTGAGGGGAGTGTGGGAAGTGGGGGGTCTGTGCATCAGCACTCACCCCCAGGCCCAGGCACCGCTTAGGTGAGGGTTGCCGTGTGGGGCATCCCTGCAGGCTCAGCTTTGGGCACCAGAGGGGCCAGGGCCCACCCTGTGCTGCTCCCTGTGGGGCGGCAACGTGTGCACGGGAGCAGGGCTGTGGCAGTCTGGCCCAGCTCCCTGCCCCAAGGGGTCCCAGGTGGCCCCTTTACATTCTACATTTGGTCCCCCCCAGAGCAAAAGACCCTCAGTGCTGCTGGCACTGGTCAAGAGGTACCGTACAGCAGTGTGGGCACCCCAGGGGATCTCTGCACATGGGGGGGCCTCGAGAGAAAGACACACACACACATGCGCACGCAGACAGTGTGTCTGTGCATCCATCCACACTGGGTCTTGGGCCGGGTTGACTGCATGCCAGCAGCAGCAGCAGGGTGGGCTGGGGTCTGCTCTCACATTGGTGGGGGCTTGGCCTGCAGGGCCGGTGGCCCTTCATGTCCGCGGGCCCCCATTGCTGGGCAGGGCTGTGGGCAGCAGGTCATGGTCAAAGACAGAGTCATCCCCCGAGGAACCAGAGCTGGGGGTGTCCTGGCCGCCTGGTGAGTACCGCTCAAAGGGCGCCGACAGGTCCAGGTACTCCTGCATTGGGGGAGGGGTGGGCAGTCAGTGCTGTGCCCTCCGCGTGTACCCCTCTGCCTGCCTGCAGAGCCGTGCTCAGGCTGTGCCCCAGAAGGCCTGTCCTACCCACCCCGCTCCCGTGCTTCCAAAACCACAACATGCCAGGAGGCAGAAAGGCCAAGTGGGGACAGAGCGGAGCCAGCACTCACATCAGTGGACGTCACAGTGAGGACACGGTCCAGGTCCTCCACCAACTGCTTGAAGGTGGGCCTCTGTGAGGGCGCGGCGTGCCAACATTCCCGCATGATCATGTACCTGCGGGCAGGGGGCTCAGGTACGGGCTCCTAGCCGGGCGCGCTCCCCCACGCCAAGCCTGCCGCCCCCCACCCCCACCCTGTTACACAGGAACAGCTTCTGGGGCCACCAGCCCCTCACCCCGCCCCAGGAGCCGAGGCTCCTGCAGGAACAGTGAACTTGGCCCCAGGCCCTGCTGGGAACGCTGTGGACTCAGTGGAGGGGCAGCTGTGGAACGCTGTGCTCACAGGTCGTGGGTGCAGTTGGCTGGCTTGTCCATGCGGTGGCCCTCCTTCAGCAGCTTGAAGAGCTCTTCCACGGGGATGCCGGGGTACGGGGAGCCCCCCAGCGTGAAGATCTCCCAGAGCAGGACCCCGAAGGACCAACTATGGGGGCAGGCAAGGTCAGGCTGCCCTGGGATCCCCAGGCCCATTCCCTTAGCAGCCCCACCCCCAGCACAGTCAGGCACACCAGGGGGCATGAGGGGGACCAGCCAGGGCGGTGCTGCCAGCCAAGGGATGGGGATGAAGAACGCTGCCCAAGAGGACAAGGCCTCAGGCTCGGGGACTGCAGGTGGCGCCCCACCATGCAGCTGTCTCCCTCCCCCACTTGGCCAGGGCTCTGCAGGGGACACGTACACGTCACTCTGATGGGTGTAGACGCGGTCGAACAGGGCCTCAGGTGCCATCCACTTCACAGGCAGCCGGCCCTGGAGAAGGGGACACGGGGGCATTGGTTGCCAGGGGCCTCTCGGCTCAGGGCCCCACCCACCCCTGAGCTGGGCTCACATTGGTGGTCTTCTTGTAGTAATCGAGGTTGTGCACGTCACGGGCCAGGCCAAAATCTGCGATCTTCATCACATTGTCCTCGGTCACCAACACATTGCGGGCAGCTAGGTCCCTGTGGATGCACTGAGGGCAGGGGGCAGGGGACAGACTGAAGCCAACCCATCCCCAGCCCCTCCATCCCTGCTCCATAGACTGCCCTGGCCCGTGCACTCCCCACAACTCCAGCAGGCTTGTCACCCACACCTCAGCTGAGAGGGACCTCCCCGTGGCCTGTGCCTCCCTGCCCCCTGCTCACCTTTTGGGAGGCCAGGTACTCCATGCCCCGGGCCACCTGGTAGGCACAGGACACCAGGTCCTTGAAGGTGAGCTGCTCCGCAGGCAGCTTGCAGGTGTCGAAGGAGTAATCCATGCCTGGAGGCCGCCGTGCCCGCAAATACTCCCGCAGGTTGCCCTTGGCCGCGTACTCCACCAGCACATACAGGGGCCCTGCAGACACAGGCGCCTTAGAGGGGACACAGAGGCCTGGGAGGGGCTGCCACCCTCCCGTCCTGCGGGTCGCTGTGCCCACCGCCCTGCGTGCAGGCTCCCAGCAGGTTGATGATGTTCCTGTGCTTGCCGATCATCTTCATCATCTCCATCTCCGACACCAGGTCCGACAGGTCCTTGTCACTGGCATCGTCTGTGCAGGGACAGAGGGTGTGCATCAGGCACCGCGCCCCTCAGGCCCTCCCAGGCGCCCTTTGCAACATCCCTCCTCACCTTTCAGCATCTTCACGGCCACGGTGACAGGCTTGGCGGCCCGATCCTTGTCAATCCCGATGGCCTCTGCCATGACCACCTGCCCAAAACAGCCCTCACCGAGAGGCTTGCCCAAGGTCAGCCTGGCAGTGGAAAGAGGCAATGGGCACACGCCCACCTGCCCAATACCCTGCCTCTGTGCCTCTACCCTGGCCAGGTGCCACTCTGCTACTGCAGCCCAGCCTGCGAGGCCAGTGCCACCACCTCCTGGAAGCCCTCCACTGTCGCCTGCAGTGCTGCTTGAGGACATCACCCTCAGGCCTCTCGCCCTGTGCCAGGCCCTCCACACAGGGTGCCTTGAGAGCAGGGGGTCCTGGCCCTGCACCCCCACCTCAGGAGCATTGCCACAAAGCCCCAGCCCCCACTCAACAATTGCCATGTCTTCAACAGCCCCGGAATCCTCCCCAACTCTGATCTGAATCCAGTGAGGCCTCTGCCTGGTGACAGTCCCACCCCCTCCACAGAACCCACAGCAGGCCAGGCTCCTCAGCACATGCTGCCCTCACCACCACTGACCGGGCCCGGGGCAGCTCCCACTTGGGATCGGCAGGCAGCTCAAGCTCGGAGACGTTGGCCAACGTGGGGCCCTCTCCCGAGGACAGCCGGGCAATGCGGACCAGTGGCGTGTTGGAGTTCATGGATGAGTTGGACTCCAGGGACACCTGCTTGGGTCGGCAGGGGCAGGTTGGTGCCGCACAATGTGGGTGGGGTAGAGGAAGGGGTGCCCGGGGACAGACAGCAAGCCCAGGGGACACAGGGCAAGGTGCTCCTCCAGGAAGAGGGTCCTCTGGCCTCCACATGGTGTTGAGTGGAGATTTTAAAGGAACATTTTGTGCCCCAAAGTAACCCAGGCTCCCTATAGGGTGACCAGAGACATGGGAAGGGTGAGGCCACCCAAGTGCAGAAAAATGTATCCCAGGCGGGCCCAGGCCTCAGACTCCATGGGGCCTCCCTGAGCCCGGGTCCCGGGACGCACGGGGGTGCGAGGGGCTCCGGGAAGCTCAAGGCCAGCAGACACGCAGCTCGGAACCTGGTATCTACTTTCTGTTACCTGTCGCTTGAGTGGGAAGCGGGAGACCTTGTGCACGGTGGGCGAGCCTAGGCCCTTCTTGGGGGGACTGCGCAGGCGGCAGAGCGTCGCGGCTGCCACCACCAGGATGAAGAGGAAGAAGCCCAGCCCATAGCTGAGGACGCCCGCATACACACTGCCGGCCTCACTGGCCTCCACCAGCTCCTCCTCGGCTGCAAAGACACGGGCATTGGGGCCTGGTCCAGCCTCTCGGGAGCCCCCCTGGCCACCCTACCAGGAGCCGCAGGCACCCCGGGGGGCTCAGCACTGGGGGGCTCGATGCTGCCACATCCCCACTCTTCTCAAGGGTCCTGCAGTCAGAAATGCCTGTAAGCCAGGAAGGGCCAGACCCAGGACAGGAGCCCAGCAGAGCCAGCAGCACCCACACCGCCACCAGGTGCCCAGGAGATGCCAAAGTCGCAGTGTAGGGCCGCCGGGGACTGGCTGGGAGTGGGGGTGGGTTCCGAAGAGGGCCCTCTGGGATCAAGACAGGGCCGGCAGGTAACGTCGTTACCACGTCAGGCACAGGGCCAGGTGTGGGGGCTCTGCAGGATGAGCTGTGGGGTCCGCTGCCCATCCCCTGCGTCTTTGGCATGTCCCGAGCCAGCGCCCAAGAGGAGAGATGCAGAGCGAGCAGCAGCAGGAACCGGTACCTGGCAGCACCACCAGCCACGCAGAGTGATGGGAAAACCCGATAGAATTGCCCGCCAGACAGGTGTACTCCCCCGCGTCCTCAAAGGTGACATTGCGCAAGGACAGAACCTCTAGCTCCTTGTCGGTGGTGTTAGCGCCCGCCGTCTACAAAGAGAGGACAGAGCGCGATAGGCGAGCGCCAGCACCTCCCCACGGGCACCGCAGCAGCATCCACACGGCGACGATCCGGCTGGGCTGCAAGGAAAACGCCGCAGCCACCACCACGGCCCTGCCACGGCCACAGAGGCCGAGGGCCCTCCACCTCGTGCGTCGGCACCGAGCCCGAAGCCAGTCCCTCCACCGGCGAGTCCTCTGTCCCAGGTGAGCGTCAGGTGGCTGGCAGCATGGCGCCACGAGAAGGTAGCATGCAAGGTTAGCGTCAAGACAGGAGTGGACAGATGGAGGGCAGACAGACAGACTGACAGGAAGCAAGTAGGCAGCAGAACCAGCAGCCAGAGAGAGGTGGAAACAGCGTGGGGCTTGGCCCCTGGCGGGCACAGAGGACCTTCTGGGGCAAGCACAGGGATGCGGGAGGGGGTCAGCACAGGCCACGGGGGCTTGAAGCTGGCGGTCACAGCAGAGGCCAGAGCTGCCAGTGTTGCCGAGGCGGCCACACACGGAACGCGAGCCGCAGGGTGGGGAGCGAGCAGGAGGGGTGTGCGGGGCGTGCGGGCGCATGGCCGGGGCGTTGGAGCTGGAGCTCGGCGTGCCAGGCAGGCATGGGACAGAGTCGTTACCTGCTTGGGGCCCGTGAACACGCAGCCAAAAGGCCTTCTCAGCCACGCCTATGAAATTGGTGGCTCGACAGAGGTACTCGCCCCCGTCCCGCTCCGACACATTGGCCAGGTGGAGGCGTGCGTCGGCCTCCACCTTCTCACTGATCCAGGACTGCAGGGACAAGAGACCTGGCTCAGGCACACCCCAAGGTGGCCCCCAAGGAACGGATCGGGGGCTGGGCTGTCAGCCCGGAAGGCTGCCTGGAGGAGGCATGGAGGCACCTCGTGGTGATGGGTTGTGCTTTCACAGATGCACCTTCTCTGTGCCCACCCCACCCCCAACCCAGAACCCTCTCGGTGACCCGTCTGGCCACCCCTGGGGACTAGGCTGGGTTGCTGCAACAGTGAGTGGGTCAAACAACACACGCTCCTAAGCTCACACCTAAGCTCACGGGGAGGAGGCACCACCCAACAGGGCCAGCAGTGGCCTCTCCCAGCTGGGCCTGGACCCCAGCTCTCGCCCCAAGTGCCTGCTCCGCACCCGATAGTCCATCTTATCTCTGAACAGATGTTTCTCTTTGAGCCTGGAGTGTCGTAACCACCCCAACTCGATGACCCTCACCCCTGCAGCCGTGGGAACGAAGCTAAGGGCCTGGGAGAGGCAGGGTGGTGAGCAGGCCCTACACACCGCACATGGCAGACGTTGCCAATCAGGGCCAGCTCTGGGAGCAGCCACTGGTCCAGAAGGTGCAGGGACAGCTCAGCTGCCACTCCTGCCCTGGGACATCACCGCTGTCACCTGGGCTTGGGCCCACCCCAGCAGGCCTTCTGAAGCCCGTCTCCAAGTTGTGGGCTGCAGTGGCTGAGGCCAACCCTCAGAGCAGGTGGAGAACCGGGTCCCACCACAGGACAGGGGGTTGCCTACCGTGGGGAGCAGGGGCGCCGCACGCTGGGACTCGGCTCCCCGCCCCAGCCCATGGATCCCCATACTTCTTCCTCTGAAGCCGCTCCATCACCTGGGCCCAAGTCCCTAGCACCCCCAGCCCACCAGGGCCGGCCGGCCGGCGCCCACCTTGAGCACGGTGACGTAGGGCGTGCCGTCGGGGCCCACCCTGCTGCCGTTCACCTCCACGTGCTTGAGCCACTGGATGTGTGGCTGCGCGTCGCTGTACACCTTGCAGTGGAACTCCACGTCGCTGCCCAGCACCGCCGTCTGGTTGGCTGGCAGTCCTGCCTGCAGGATGGGCCGGTGTGGAGAGCGCTCTACGGGGCACACACAGGGCACAGGGGCTCAGGGGCTGCCCCACCGCAGCCCGCACCCTGCCCCGCCCCGGCTGGCACTCACCCAGCACATCCAGCGTGTATGTCTGCCGGATGCTGCCGAACCTGTTCTCCACCACACACGTGTAGTTGCCGCGGTCGGAGGGCACCACGCTCTCCATGACCAGGCTCCACTGCTGGTGCCGCAGCTGTGGGGACATGCAGGTGAGTGGATGCAGGTGAGCGGCGCAGGCCCCACCCGACCCGGCCTGGCCCAGCCACCTTGATGCCTCCGATGCGGTGCTCCCCGCGGAACTCCTTGCCGTTCTTCAGCCAGGAGATGGAGGGCGTGGGGTTACCCGCTGCTGGGCAGCGGAAGCGCACGGTGTTGGCAGCCGGCACGGCCAGCAGCTTCTTATCCATCCGCTCTGGCCGTGTCCAGTAAGGGGCCCCTGCCCGAGGAGGTAAACGTGAAGGCCGTAGCCAAGGCGGGGAGCAGAGGCCCATCTGACCCCACCCCCGGCCTCAGTTTCCACTCCCATATAGGGAATGTATTGGGCCGTGTGTCCCCTCCTCATCTGCTTCCCCCACGCAGCTGCCCCTGCTGAGAGGTTCAGGGTGTCCCACCCTGGCCTGGGAGCCTTCAGGGCATAAGGGCGTCTCCGAGGGGAGCTGTCACCCACCCAGGGAGGCACGCTGCAGCATGCCCACCCAGGAGGAGGCCCAGGACCCAGCAGACGGCCCACCTGGGTGAATGAGCCAATACAGGCCTTGGGAGCAGTTTACCAGCAGGTGGAAGCCAGCCACCCGCAAAGTCAAGTCTTGCAGATAGCTAAGCAGCACAGACCCCCTAGAATCTGACGGACCCACGCCACCCTGTGCAGTGCTCCAGGCTGGCGGGAACCCAGTGTTTTACCCGTCCTGGTTTCCCCCTCACAGCACAACTGGTTTTTCTCCTTCCTGGGGTGGGGGCTGGGGTGGGGGCTGCCCTCCTGCAGGGACATGTGGGAAAGCTGGGCTGGAGTCCCACGGCAGGGAGGCAGCCCTATGCCTGTGGTGACCTCGTTGCCACCCATGGGCAGGGACACAGTCATCTCTCAAGAGGAGGACACTGAGGCACGGGTGGAGCAGTGTGGACAACTGCTGCGACAAGGCACCTCTAGAGCTCTCTGCTGCCCTCCAAAGCCTGGGCAATGTGGAGACCTACACAGTGACAGAGAGCCCAGCAGGCTGTGGCAGGGGCTGTTTCCCAGGACCCAGAGACCACAATGACACAACTCTGCTCACTGCCAGCGTCTTCTGAAAGTCAGCCCTGCAGTGACCCTTACAGCCCAAGACCACACGGGGCAAAAACACCAAACACCTGCCTGGGACGGTCAGGAGGGCAGGAACTCGGGGAGGGTGCCAGGATGTGGGGGCAGGGGCCCTGGGGGTGGCCGAGCGGAAATCTGGCTCTTAACAACCTGGCAGCCAAAGGGAAAATGGGAACGAGAGGAAGCCTGCAGCTCGGCAGGACGGGGAGCCTTTCCCAGCCTCAGTCCCCAAGCTGTCCTGAGGCAGCAACCCACTCGGAGAGCTCATACGGGCCCTGGGCTCGGCTCCTGCCCCGGATCTGTCCCCTCGCCTTCCACGCAGCCCCTCCCCTGGCTGGTTCCTCCTCCCCCGCTGCCTGCTCCATCCCAGAGGGTCCCAAACTGTAACTGCTCCCCCACGTCTGTCCCAGGATGACACTCATCTGCACGTGCACATCTTAGCACCTCTAAAACCAGAAGCCCCACCTCCCATGATGGCCCCTCCACGGCTGCGCAAAGTCCACCCTGCTGCTGAATACCTAGGCGTTGTCACCAGGCCTACTCTCTTGCACCCACAGCCCATCCCCTGGGAAACACCACCAGCACCCCATTTATGAGTCCCAGCCCCCCCATGTCTACCCTCCCCTCCTGCTAGACTGTGGCAGTCACCTTCTGAAACCCTTAACCCCTCGGTCCGCTCACCCCCCGGCAGCCACCTGAGCCCTCCATGCCCCACTGTATTCACCTCTACGATGGCCCACCTCACCCAGAGTCAACACCAGAGTCCCCTACAGGCAAGCCCTGGCCTCCTCGCCACTCCTGGAACCCCCAGAGCCCTGTGCCTCAGTATCCCCACCTGCAGCAATGGTGTTCCCCTCCCGTCCTCAGCCTGCCATCCAGAGCCCCGGGCCAGGCACACAGAGCCATTTCGACAGCCCAGGCCCTCCTCCACCCTGAAGGGACTGTGATCCTTGGTGTGTCCCCAGGCCTTGGTCTCCCATCTTCCTGTTAAGGGCAGGGCTTGGTGGATGGGAAGCAGCCGTGTGTGCCCAGAATCTAGTCTCACCTGTGTCTTCAGCCTCGTCCTCCCCGTCTTCGTCATCTCCCGAGGACGGAGCATCTGCAGTGATGGAGAGGGTGCGCATGGGTGCTGGTGCCGTGACGCCCACGTCCAGATGCCCGCTGCCTCCCTACCGGGGCTCAGTCTCTGACCTGCTCCAGGAGGAACCCAGGTGCCCCTCACAGGCAGGGCTGGGGCCCCTCGTTCAAACAGCACCTCCTGGGGGGACCCTCCTCTCTACCAAGGACCAGTGAGACCTTCGGGGCGGAAGAGCTGCAGCCACACCACCTGGTATCTCCTGGGCTGCGCGGCACCCCAGAGAAGTTCACAGCCCCGGCCCCTGCGCTCACCTGTCACACGCACGCCGAAGCGGCACAGCATGCGCTGGGTAAGTCGCTGCCGGCAGCTGTAGACCCCCGTGTCCTCGTGGGAGGCATTCAGCACCTGTAGCCGCTGTGGCCCCACCAGGATGCGGTCCGAGGACACCAGCCCTGCGCCATCCTTGACCCAGACAGTGGGCCCCACGGGACCACCTCCGGGCAGGTGGCAGCTCAGTTCCACGGTGTCCCCACTGCCAAACACCAACTGCTCCTGCTGGTCGGGCTCAGGCCCCGGGAGCTCTGCTGGTGACATGGGCAATGGTGAGGCAGGCATCCTGAAACCAGGCACATGGGGCTCAATGCCCCCACAGGATACACCAGGGCACCCCTTCCACAAACACGCCCGCAGGGGCCACAGCAGGCCCTGAGAGGAGGATCTGCTCCCAGAGCCCGGGGTCCCGCCAGGCGCGGCTCTAACCGGTGGTGGCAAACTGCTCCTGTCTTACTGGGCAGGGGCATCAGTACTTTCTGCTTTGCCACCCGGCCTCTGTGCCAGAGACTCGGCCGCACCGCTGCCGTGTGAAAGCGGCCTCCGCTGACAGCCCCAGCCCATGGGTGACTGCTGCGGCCGGCGCCACCACGACTCTCCTCGTGGACGCTGAAGTTCCCCATTTCAAAGCATCATGTGCTGTTACTCCTCTTTTGATTTTTTCAACCATTTGGAAATGTAAAATCCAGTCTCAGCTCCCAGAGGCACAAAAGCAGGCAGGGACAGGCCACACTTGGCCGACCTCTGGCTAAAATGGAACTCAGAGGAGGGGTCCCTCTCAGCACCCCTCCCCAATCCCTCATCTTGGCTTCCAGAGCAGATCAGGTGGACGGTGAGGAAACAACACGCGTCAGCAGTGACCGGCGAGGAGGCAGGGCCGGGCGGCATCGTGTACAGACCGCACTCAACAGTGCACACGGGAGGCCCTTTACCTGAAGCTGAGCACAGGCATGACAGCCCCAGGTGGGCGGGGACCGTTCTGTGCCCTGCAGGTCATATGTGAGCGCCTCACGGCTGTCGGCTAAGGAAAGCACACACTGAGAAAACGTCTCAGATACAGGCAGGACACCAGGTCTGGCCAGTTAGGTCTCATAAGTCAGTAGGCTGAAGGGGCCGGGTGGGTCCACAAGGACGGCTGGTGGTGGGCTCCTGCCTGCAGGGGGTGAGGGACCCCCGTCTCACAGATGAGAACCCAGGCGAGCAGGTCAGAGCTGGAGCCCCAGAGCAGGTGGGGGAGCCTTGGGCGCCTCACCCTGATGGTGAGAAGCTAGGGGACACATGTCCCATGGCAGATGTGTGCAGGTGACCCCTGTATCCCTCCCCCTGCCCAATGGCTGCCCAGCTCCCAAGAGGCCACCAAGGCCGGGGGCCCAGGAACTCATGGGGCTGACCATTACCCCCAGCCAGGCCTCCCCACCAGGGCCAGACAATGCCCAGTGCAGGCGGGTGGCCTGGGCTTGGGGCCCGGTACAGGGGTGGGTGGTCCCCCTGGGCAGGCTTCCTTCCCCAGACCCGGGTAGGCCAGTTGCACCATTAGTTGTCATTCTGTCGACGTATGGCCTAGATTCGAGGGCCTAACTGCCCACTCTAGCCACGCCAGTCCCTCCTTCCCTGGGCCTGGCCCAGTTCTGCCCATCTCACATAAGTCGGCCCCACATGCCCAGCGCCCACCAGGATCCTTCCAGCCAGAAGGCTCCACACTCGTCCCCCAGAGTACCCGTGGGAGCCTGAGTCCCACAGGGACACAGCTCAGGGCCAGCACCTGAGGGGGCCTTACAGTCAGGAGGGCCCCGCCTCACCTCCAGCCCTCTAGTCCTGGCCACCCTGTCCTGTGGGACCACCCAGTGCTAGGAGCTGCCTGAGGCCCCCCAGAAGGCTGAGCAGCCTCAGCCCCAGGCCCTGGCCCAAGGGCAACAGCCAGTTGGTTCCGGTTTGGTCTGGCTGGCGACAACAGGTCAAGCCATGTGCACAACTATTCGCTTCAACCTGGTCCAGTGAGGGACTGGGGTGAGGGGGGCACCAAGCAGCCCCCAGGACAGCAAGGCCTGCCCGCTGGTGTGCCAGGGGAATGGGGGAAGGCCCTGCATTTGGCTGAAGGCCAACCCCTGACCTACCCCCCACCCTGCCCACTAGGTGCCAGCACAGCAGGGCCAGGGACCCGAACTTCAGCCGCTGGCAACAGACAGCTGTCTCTACCTCCTACAATGCCATCCCAGGGCCCACAGAGTCTGGGGGAGAGCGGGCAGGGGCTGAGTTAGGGACCTCAGGCAGAGAGAGGCTGAGGGAAGGACAGTGTAAGACTGGGCATGAGTGGGACCTACGGGGCCAGGGTCTGGCCCACCCTGGGGTGGTGGCGGTGGGGCACAGGTCAGCTGAACCCCCACATGCCCCTGGGCTGCCAGACATACTTGGTGCCCATACCCCCACTTCTCGCAGCAGCCCCAGGAAGAGTTCTTTCTTGACCAACAAAAGGGGGACCCCACCTACACCCACACAGGCACTGAAGTCCACACATGATGGAGAACAAAACTCCTGCTGTGCCTGTGGTGGGGTGGGGACCCCCACCTTTGGGTCTCACAGTACCTGCTCCCACCAGGGAGCCACATACCAAGAACAGCCCACTGCTGTAGCACAAGGGGTGCTGGGCCTGGGGGCATGTTTCCCAGTTACAGAGTCTCCCTGATTCTGCCACTCACTGCCCCATGCCTCAGTTTCCCCCACTGTGGCAAAGGAAAAATGCCACCCTGCACAAAGGGGTCCAGAGAGACCACCACTGAGCATGTAAAAGTGGGGGGTGAGAGAGACTCCCTGCCATGGGTCTCTTGCCCCAGGGCGGATGTCCATCAGGCCAGGGCCAGGCCACCCTGTTGGTAGGGCTGTGTCCCCTGCCTAGGGAAGCGTAACTCCAGTTCTGGGTCACTACAGCTGAGGCCCCCGATGCATGGGGGGCACAGGGGTGCGATGGAGGTGGAGCAGTGCTCCATCCTAAGGGTTTTGGGGACGACCCCAGAGAACAAGCATCAAACTCAGACTCCTTTCTGAAGCTGGCTGCCCAAGGGACTTGGTTTGGGGTGAGATGAGGGTCTGGGGTCAGGGAAGAAAGTGTTCTGGTGTGAACACACATGAAGCTCTCCACAGTTCTCGGTAAGGGAAGTACTTGAAAATACCCTAAGGAGGGGCACCCCAAAGGAGCCCTGAAGCCAAGGGCGAGGGTCAGGCCTCCCCAGCCGAAGACACTCTGCAAAGTTTTGTAACAAAGTCAGAAAAAAAGAAAAAAAAAGGATCTGGAGGCCTAATGAGGGCTTATTAGGATTATCCGGCCTAATCCTCCCAACAACCCTGCCATTATCTGTCCCCTCTGACAGGTGAGGTGCTGAGGCTGAGGAGGGCGCCAGGAGCCTGGGGGCAGCTGGCAGACCACCCCCCAGCCAGAGGTGGCTGCACGCACAGCTCATTCACTTGTAAATCGCCCAGGCTAGGCCCCTGGCCTCCCTTCCTCCCAGGGAGAACTCAAAATCCTGGGCACCCCCTAGGTTCATCTGTAAAAGGGCGCCCCAGGCCCCAGTTCTGGCCCAAGTGAGACCTGAGGCCATGAGGGGGTTGGGGAGCGGTGACAATGGGCTCTTAGACTCAGCACCAGAGGCCAGAGGCTCAGCTCAGGTTAATGAACCACCCAGAGGCTGGCGGGGCTCAAAGTCCAGCCCTGCAGAGGAAGGGTTGGGGAGCATGCAGCCAGAGGCTCTCTGGGAACGGCCCTGCACCCCCCCCCCGAGACTCCTCCTGCGTGGGGTGGGGCCACCCCCAGGTCCCCCACCGAGGACATGTCCCAAGTGGAGACGGAGGCTGCCGAGGCTGGGCCCTTGACCCCAGCCCGCTCTGGCTCATAATTTATGCTCCTGGGGAAAGCGCCAGCCGGGTCCTCTGTAAATTTCACCAAGTCTTTGTATTTTTACAGGCCGGCCCATCTTGTTAAAGAACCGGATTAAGTTTATTGACCTATCAACTCACTACCTGTTTCACCAGCCCGAGTCCGGGGGCGGGGGAGGAGGCCCTGCGCCCCCGGCGGTCCTCACGGGGTGCGGGGACCACGGCCTCCGCAGGCTCTGCGCCCAGGATGGGGCCCGCAGGCGCTTCCAGGTGCCGTCGGGGGGACGCAGGGAGGCCACCGCCCCGCTCCGCAGGGGGCCCACGAGAGGCTCAGCAGCGCGGGCCTCCGCCCCGCCCGGGGCTCGTTGACATTGCCGGGCCATAGGGAGTAATATCTTTATCTGAATGCGAATGCTAATGCGGGGCTCCCCCCGCGGCCGCCCATTCGGCGCCCCTGGAAGCTGGGGCCGCCCGAGCAGGCGTTAAAAGCGCGCGCTGACCTCCGGACGGCCTCTGTCACGCCGCTGAATGACACGCACATTCAAGCGCCGGGCCCACCTTCATTCATAAAAAAATGACATTGTTCCGGGCGGCTGCAGCCGCCGCCGCAGAGAGGGGCGCGGGGCGGGGCGGCGCCATCTGCCCGGGCGCCCCGCGCGGCTCCCACCTCCCGCGAGGCCGG